TAATTTTCCAAAAGAAATTGCAGCAACTGAGCGAGGAAACCAATGCTTAGAAAACGAATTAAAATGTCCAAATTGACCAAATTTCAAATTTTAAATTTAAATTTTGTTTGCCAAGCACAAGTTTCCTAGCTCAGTTTTTGAATTCACGCTAATTATCTTTTGACATATAAAAATGTTAATGCCCTCCGATGCTCTCCTGCAAATCTTGAAATCATTTCCAATTTGGAATAATTTCATAGATCTATCTATTATCTATAAATTTTAATCGTAAAACTAATTTCCTGTTTCTTGGAGAGAGAGAAACTGCCGAAGTCATTATTTAAACTCAACTTAGATGAGATATTATCAATATTTATTCAGGCATGAAAATACAATAAATAGATTATTGTGCTAATGATTTATCGAAATTTCCTTCATCAGGTTATATATAATTTTCTCTCATTCACAAATTTCTGACAAAATATGTCCATATAAGATGAATATATTTGTAAAATCTTTGTAACCAGAGGAGGAAAAGGTTTTTATAATTAAAATTAAACCCGTGTCAAATATAATTCCATCGCTGTCACAAGCACAATGGTGCATCTAGCAGCGTACGTTGTCTCTGTGTTCAAATTTCAAGTGAAAATTAGCGCGATGGGACAAAAGAAATGCGAGAGGGAACGTTGGCGGCAGCACCGAAAGTTGGCGTCGCTGGCAAAATACATCAAAATTCCAACTCGAGTTACGAGCGAGGCAGGCAGGCCTTTGCTCTCTGATGTGTTTTGTGTCTTTTCTGGGACGCGAACAAAAAGAGAGGAGGACCCGGGCAGGCAGCCCTATTCTTCGCTGTAACAACAGCTTGTACTTTTCACCAGTCATAAAATTACACGTATCCCATTATGCAGAGTTGCTCTCTGTGTGTGACAAAGGCGAATCTCTCTCTCTGGGTCCCTCTCGCGCTCTTGCACAATAAAAGTGACACGCACGCATTTCTGCTCCTGCATTATTTTCATTATGATTATATTTTCACTCTGGAAAATTTTCCCTCTCCGCCGCAATTGAATTTCGACGGCTTTTTACGACCCGGGACGCAGCAAGTGCAATTTCCAAAATTCACCTGCCTACGTGCGTGGTGTGTTGACACGCCGAATAATAACAACACACAATGCTGTTGCGGCACGCGAGCGAAAGAGCGAACCCGTGTTGTTTCCACTGCGGCTGTCGGAATTTCAATTGAATAATTTTGTACAGTTTCGCGTGTCATGCATGCGCTCATTTGAATTGCTTCGCGGATAATAAGAGCGGTGAGTAATGCTTTGTTTCGGACATAAAACGTAGCTTTTAATTAGGTCTGTGACAAACGCGTCTGCGGCAGTGCGTGCACGTTATTAAATGAAAGTTTCTCCTATTTCGTCTGTGCGGAAAAAAAGTTATGTTTTTCTGGCTCTAATTACACATTTTTTTACCAACGTAACAATAAATACAATTATTTACATTTTATTAAAATTTAGTACTGAAATATTAATATTATCCATTGAATACTAGTAATTATTGTAATATTATCGAGATTTTCTTGGTTGTTATTCAACATTATTTGTAAATTTTTATAGTGCCAACGAGCATTTGATGCATATAAATAAATTGAAATAACGTATATTATTTTTTCTGTACTTTATTTGTTGTACCATTTATTTATTTTTATCTAGATCAATTTACATGCAACATTTCTAATAATAATTTCTATACTTGTAAATACGTGGATTATGCAGATCAGTAAGACATCTACAGTAATTTGTTGAATTTTATATCAACTCCTTCAATGATGCAAAGCATTTATTATTATGATAAAATTTTTAATTCATATATTTTTGATGTATTTAGAGAGAAATAATGTTCTATTAGGGTGGTTTCACGATAGATTTTACTCAAATTGGCCAAAAAATGACCGATCTTGATTTTCACATATGTTGTTGGGCTAGGTGAGAAAATACTCTCCGTAAAATTTCACTTGAAAATTTTGAGTACTTTTCCGGGAAATCAGATTCCCGAAAAAATGCGATAAGAAACAGAAAATGTTGAATATCTTTGCTTCTGTTTAGAAATTAAGTATGCTCTCTTCAGTTCTAGACGTAACTTTTTATGCCCGACAACTTTTCTGTTGACAACTTTTGTGTAGGTCAAAGGTCAAGGTCACTAAATTGCAAATTTCACTTTTTGACGCAATTTTCGCAGTGATGCACCCGTCAAATGTTTTCCGGGGTATAGGAAAAAATGTAGCCCTAAGTGTGTAGAACAAAATCCTTGATTTTCAAAATGGGGTTATTTTTTGTTTCTGAGATATTTTTAAATGAATTTTTAAAAGCAGTCAAAAATAGCTTTTTTGCATCGAAAAACAGTACTTTTTTAAATTCATTTATAAATATCTCAAAAACAAAAAATAACCCCATTTTGAAAATCAAGGTTTTTGTTCTACACACCTGGGGCTACATTTTTTCCTATACCCCAAAAAATATCTGAGGGGTGAATCTTTGGGAAAATTGCGTTAGAAAGTGAAATTTGCAATTTAGTGACCTTGACCTTTGACCTACACAAAAGTTGTCAACAGAAAAGTTGTCGGGCATAAAAAGTTACGTCTAGAACTGAAAAGAGCATACTTAACTTCTGTATAGAAGCAAAGATATTCAACATTTTCTGTTTTTTTTTGGAAATTTGATTTCCCGGAAAAGCACCCAAATTTTTTAAGTGCAATTTTAGGGAGCACAGCGTCTTATCTACCCCAACAACATATGTGAAAATCGGGATGGGGTCCTTTCATGAAAAAAATTTGCCAATTGTAGTTAAATCTATCCTGAAACCACCCATTATTAGAATAAAAATATTTTTTTTATGTAAATTTATTAAATAGTTAAAAATAACTTAATAAATATATGTTTTATTGTAAGATTACTTCCGTTAAAGCGTTAAAGTTATTAAAAATATTAAAAACCTGCACTATTTTAGTTTTTAATGTACGTAAAATATTAAATCCAACACAAAAAAATCATTTGCTTTAAAACGTAAGCACAAAACAACAAAAACTTTATTAAAGAACATCCATTTTGATGAAATTTTAAATTTTTGGTAGAGCAATCGGTATATGTATTAAATGATTATCACCTGGATCTAAACCGACAGCGTCTCTGTGTATGTCATCAAGTGTCATTAGCAAACTCGCATGCGGCTGCGTTTATGTACGCACCACGCCTTTGGCAAACACCCACACACACTCAGCTTGCATTCCGGGTGGAATTTAATCAGAGGCCCGATAAGAAAGCACCAAAGGCGAGTGAGCGGTATTAAAATTAATAATTCAGAGTCGTCAGCTGAAATTTGGCTAAGTAGAATATTCGACTCGGGGGAGGGAGCGCGCGTTGTCGAAAGGCGGCGAGCTTAAGGTGTGCAATTTTGGCAAATGAACCCCCTCGAGAGGTAGGCAACCCGCCCAGCCTGTTGTGAGGCTGCGAGTCAATACCAAGAGGGTGAAGTGAGGGACCCCTGGAAGCCGGGCCGCCTGCGAAACGCTGCGCTGCGTACCCTGCTTTCTCACTGTACACAACAAGTTTGTGTGACTTTAAATGAGCAAGCAAGCAAGCCCGGCGCTTTTTTCGCCACTCGACTCTGCCGCCGGCGCTCAAAAGTGCACGTTAATTAATTGCGATTGTTGGCTCACTTAATTAAATCGTGGCCAGGCAGTTTTCTCTCTCTCTCGTGCTCTCATTAGGCTGGCGGTGCAGCTCGTGCTGTGGAGAAAAGTGGAAAATGGCACTCTTGAGCCGACTTGAAAAGTCGTTTTGGACGTGGAATTGCCGCGCACGTGCCACGCTTAAGTGGATTAATTTTGTGCATTTGCAGAGATTAGGCTAGATTTTAACCAAACTCTTTCCACGAACATTTACTATAAAATATAAGCATAAAATGGGTATCATGGCTAAAAAGAAAAAATAATCCATTTCTTTTGTAAGTAAAATAAATTATGATTAATAAATAATTTAAAAGTTGTTCACTACATATAAATAATTTTTATTTAGTTATTTTTATTTTTAAACTAATTTTTTTTTTAATTTCTCATTTATGTAATTGATCATTTCATTTTAAATAAGAATCATAATATGTATTTATTTTTTAAATCAAAATATAAAATATTTGTTAATAAAAAATTTAAATTGTCAAGTATTGCTTCAGTCTTAACATACTCAGACGTTTTAACAAAAATTACCATGTTCGAATTAAAGGTTTGAAGTTGCCACACTCGATCTATTTTAATATTTATTTCAAATTAAGTTAGGTGATAAAGTGATAAAAATTAATCCAACATATAGCAGACAATCTATTGGAATTCCTGAATTATATAAATGATCTTTTCTACATTTTTTTCTTTTTAATAACACGCTTGATTATAGTGTTTAAATTGAAATTGAGATGTTTGACTTGTTTGAGTCTTTTTCTTCTTCTAGCAACTATTTAGGAAAATCTGAAGTTCAATTATTCAAACACCCCGAATCAACCATCGATTGTGAAATTTATCGACATATACTTAGTAATTATTCAATTACTTCAATAATTTTTAATATATAATTTTTTAAGTTTATCATGAACAAGAAACGTTTTATTTAATATTTCGAGCCAATACAAAAAAAAGTAGCTTAAAAAATAATGAGGGCGATCCAAAAGGCTAACTTGGCCCAGGCTAAATTAACCTGGCCCAGGCTAATTTAACCCGCCATTCAATTTTGCTGGTGGGCTAAGTTAGCCCGGGGCTAAGTCAAGTTAGCCTGGGCCAGGTTAGGCTTTTGGATCGCCCTCAATAATTGTTTTCATCCATGTTGATAAATTATTTACAAAAAAATCTTATCTGCTTTTCCTTCCAGAAATCAATTCAATATATCCAATCGTACTTCTTGATAAGTTTGAAAATTAATTTGTGCAATTTTTTTCATTTGAAGTATTTCGTTGACATGTTTGTTTTTGTTTGTCCGCAGGTGGCATAATGGGCTACTCGATGCCGGAGAGCAAGCACGAGGGCGATCCTGGCGAGCTGCAGGACGTGCTGTTCGACGGCCTCCGCTCCGGGGGCTGGATGAGGGGCGGCCTCGGTCTGCTGGTCGACGGACAAATTGGCGCTGATAATTTCCGCGTGGATATTGGCTACGGAAAGGGTAAATATAGATCTATCCAACTAGCATGTGCGCCGCGCCCTATGTGTTATTTCCGTGCTCTCTCTGCCGTGCAACTCTGTCAATATTAATTCTGCTGTTCAGAGCGGCCGAATGTAGCATTCATGTGGAGGAGCCAAATGGAAATGTTCTCAGGTGCTGGCCGGATGCAAATAAAAGAGAGTCCGTCTGCCAGAAGCGGCTTGTTAACTTTTCGGGCAAATATTGGAGCTTCGACGGCGACTGCGAGCGAATTCCGCCGTTTAATTAATCGCCAGCCCGCTAGAGAGTGATTTTTGCTCTCTGCCGGATAATCATCGAGGGGAGATTTTTTTTCCTATTTGCGAACGAGAAAGAGAGAAAGGTCTTTGCCGATGAAAGCGCTTGTAATCCTTTTACTAAACTTCAGGATGAAAGGGTCAAGAGTTGTTAAACTTAGTTTTTGATGTCTCCTCCTCTTTCTGAGCAAGTTGAACGCAAAGTAGAGTGGGCTTCGGAGAATTGGTCAGGTAACAACTGCCTCTCAGTTCCAGAGTGCGTAAGCAGAATATCGCTGGGACCACTCGATTATAGTAGTTTCGGTAGTTTCCAGTAAAGAGGCCTTTGAACTTGTTTCAAGGGTCCTTGGACATTAGACAGAGCAGGGCATGTTTGGTGAAATTGTTCAGATAGCTTGAAATCCAATAATATTCATCTAGCTGCATTAACAAAAGTTTATTAATTAATTATTAATCAAATTAATTATCATCAATCATGATCATAGTTTTTCTAATAAATTTAAATTTGTAAAATTTCCATGAAAAAAAAATCACTTTATGAGATTAAAATATTTACCATCAACAATTTTGTAGTCTGAAAATTGACAAAAATAATAAATGCACTAAAAAAAGAAGATTAATCTTAATTATCCTTTATAAAATTCGTATTGAAACTTGTAAACACAAATTTTGAATAGTTCTCATTCACTTCAACTGTTCTGAATTATTATTTTGGCTCTACCTTTCCTTCCTCAATCATTGGAACAACAAAAAATTTTAAAAGAAATTCTTCCAGGAAGATTCTGAGTAAAATTATAATTGGTAAACTTCATAAAATAATTTATTTATAAAATTTCCTCTTTTGAAATATCGAGAACATTCTAATTTATTTCATTAGTTTGTAGTCACTTAAATGTTTTTATCAGATATTTTACTTATCAAATAAATTAATCGATCATTTATTTTTAATATCCCTGCCAAAACATAAAAAGGGGAAAGCAAAGAGTTTTCCCCAAAACAGAGCTTTCATTGCAAAATTCCCAATTTATTCGGCGGGGACTCATTAGCAGGCAAAAAATCAGAGTGTTTGTAAAAAAAACCTAATTTTGTCTGATTATTAAGACACATGCACAGTTGGAGTTGGAAAACACCCAAATTGCGTGTTTCCCGCTGATTTTGTTGATCAGAGTTTTAATTGGGCCTTTTTGTTGGGTGGCGCGTGAGTGGCATCTTGTTGGTGTTTGACTTGTCGTTTGGTTCATCAGCATTTTTGACACACGCCGGAATAATTGCCCCGGTGGCGAAGTTGGCTCTAGTTTTATTTGCAGAGTTCCTGCAGCACAAACACACACACATTCGAGAGACGCAGCAACTCGCTCTCGCGCACAACACTCAATTATTAATGCAAACACGGCGCGGGCGGCGCGTTTCAGGTTAATTGCAACACAGGCAAGGGCGGCACCTCAATAATTCATTAATTCAACGATAACAAAAGGCGGTTTGTGCTGCCAAATGAACCGCAATCAGTGCGCGACTAAAACCATCGTCACGGGCTTTCCCTCGCAACAACTGTTGATTTTCTACCAACATTTAGGGCTTATTGTGTTTGGACACAGATACATACGCAAGGGGACACGCAGGTCCATTCTTCGGGGCATTGTGAACAATTATTTGCTGTTGGGCTTTACACCTTTGCCGTGCGGTTGATGTTCTGCTTTGTAATTATTTGAACGACTGGCGTTTACCCTTTACAGTGTTAAATCCGAGGTTCAACGAATTAATATCTTAAAAGCTTGATATAAAGTTAGGAATTGAAATCATTAATTTTATTTAAAGTTATTTATTTATTATTGTTAATATATGTATTTATTTAAATTATGTGTATGTTTTATTAAATTTTTTAAATAAATTTAAAAAAGGATTTTTGTTGTGCATAAAATTTTTTTTAAATATCTATTATTTTACCATTTAACTATATGAATGTAAGTTTAATTTAATTATTTCAAATAAATAAATACAATAATGTCAACTTACTTTTGTAATGCAACGTGGCCAACATCAATGATGTGCAAGTTGCCTACCTTTCCTCACTTACAATTTTTTCGTTGATTACAAATATATGGATTTCTTTATTGAAAGTCCTTAAGCATTTTGGTGATTTCACTTACATTTTGTCACCAAATTTTATCTTCCAGTCTTTTATAAACGATTTTCCCATTAAATTGAGCTTTTGACGATCACGACCAGCACCAGACTTTTCCGTTCTGTGAATCTCCTCCACTGAATTTCGGTCCTCTCTCTAAATTTTATCCACATGAATTTGCTCGGAAAGCGAGCAAGCAGAGTTTGATGCGCACCCAAGCACGAAGTTTTCCTGGTGGGTATACCGTGCTGGGGTAGCTGATCATTAAGAAGTTGCGCGCGGCATATCAAGTGTCATGCACGTGTGTGTGACGAGTGTGTTTTGTACGTATTTTTGCAGGCGCTGGCTGGGTGGGCTGGCGGAACGACACGCCGCGCTCCAGATTCGTCGAGCTGATATTCGAGTTTGATCAAGTTCGCAACTTCAGCGCCGTCAACCTGTACACAAACAACTTCTTCAGCAAGGACGCTCAAGTGAGTACCCGCGCGGGGATGCGTACTCTCCATAAATCAAATCAAAACTAACTCACTCGATGCGAATTTGCTCCCAATCGCCTCATGAATTTGCCATTTTGATTGATTGATACCAAAAGTTCTGTGATGGGAGAGCCGTAGTCTGAGAATAGCTATAAACTGCGCTTGATTAGATTTTATTTCAAATAAAATTTACATTTTTGTTGCTACTTTTGGTATAATTAAAAATATAATCTAAATTTTCATGTTTTTGGCAATTTTCTTCTTTTAACGAAAAAAACCCAGCAATTCCTTTGAAGTCCAAATGTAAATTGAATTCACTTTGTAATGGAGGTAATTAAACTGTCAAAGGCAGATATAAAATAATAAAGTTGGCGCATATTCCATTGTTTTAACTACGTAATTAGTAATTTCACATTTTGACCTTTACTCCGCCAACCTTCTTGTGATGAAATAGTTGTAACGTTCATTTGCAGGTGTTTTCGAGAGCGAAAATTATGTTCAGCTACGGCGGGAAATTTTACAACGGCCGCCCACTGACGTATACCTACATGCCCGACCGAATTCTGGAACAAGCTAGAAACGTTTCCATCCACCTTCACGGAAGAACCGGCCGCTTCGTCAAACTGCAACTTTGGTTTGCTGCCAAATGGATTCTGCTCGGAGAAGTCACTTTCAATTCCGGTGAGTACAATTTGACAGTTCCTTCGCGACGATTGATAACGAAATTTATGTTTATTTTTGTAAAAAAATTAAATCAAGACATAAAAGGCGACCGGGGCGAAAAGGACGAGAAATGAATAAAAGAAATTTCAGAACAAGGATTCTCCGCCAATCAGCACTGGTTGCAGTATTTGACCAGTTCTTTCTAAACCTAATGAAAAATGGAATTAGTTGGCTGGGCAATCAGGCGAGCCCCGAGTCAGTTGGGAATGCCCTGCTCTATTTCCGATAATAAAACCGGCCGCACTTCGCTCTCGGCCTTTTATTTCGCGTCACGTTTTTCCGGGTCTGCTGATTGTGAAGCGTTTCCCAGAAGCTGCTGATTAAATAACTTGCCTGGCAGGGGCTGCTCTTCAAAGGCAAATAATATTCCCTCGCTCTCAACCTGACCAGGAGCAGGTAAACTTTGTCGGTGTCGCCATAATGCGATTCGAACGCGATCGTAATCACGTTTAAAGAGTGTGAACGCTTTGAGCAAGTAAGTTGGAGCGAAAATCGTGTTTGCTAATGAGCTAATTAAAGCGGAATTATTTGCCAAGACTTCATTACGCCCTCACGAGTATGTATTTCTATGACTACTGCTTTAATATGCCGCATATTGAATCAGTTCTGGAACCATTATTGGTTTAATCCGCTGGGAAATTAATCGGGCTACTAAATTATTCAGTCGTTTTTTACTGCTGTTAAAAAAAAAATTAATTTTCAATAATAATGATAATATAATAACATTTTTATGGAAAAAGGATTAATATTTATTGTAAGGGAATTTATTAGTAAATGATTTTTTTCTATTATAAAATAATAAAAAATTAATTTGTGTGAAATGTGGAAATTTTAATTGTAGATTTTATGAGATTATTAAAAAGTAATTTAAGAAGTACATATTTTTGTATTGTTAAGCAAAAAAATGTTTTTATTGGAGAGTTTTATACGGAAAAATAAATAGCAATTTTATTCGTCTGAAATTTAAACAAATTAAATAAAGCACTCAGGCGAAATTGTAGACATCACCAAACTTTGGAGACAAAATTTATTTTTGTCTTAATAGGACAAAACTTTGCAGACAGACGCTGTTCATTCATTTGCCGTGGATCCCTCAATTTGTCCAAAAAGGACTTCTTCTGACGTTTGAATTTTTTACCAAAATTAACAGATGAATTTTTAACGAAGTCGCACAGAAAGGAAGAATTTCCGCGTCTAAAAATACATATATTCAAATTGAGAGACGCGCTCGCTCGCTCTCTTTCGGTCCCGAGAGTGTTCTTTTGAACCGGCCAAATGGGAGTGTGTGCGAGTCCGACACCCAAGTGGAGCCGCCGAATTTATTTATTCAGTCTAGACCCGGTGAATTTTTCATACTGCCCTCTCTTCCTTGAGAGAGGAAAAAAGAAAAAAAAATAAGAAAGATGAAGCTAAAGCGCCGCACCGCGCCGCGATAACTTAGGAATTGAAATCTGGCTCAATAATTTCCTCAATCATTTTCAGTGAAAAACACGACAGTTAAAAAAATAAAAATAGTTATTTTATAGTTTTCTTACTGAATGTTATCTGACGGCTTTGGTGAGAAAAAAAAAATTAATAAAAAACTAGAGTTTCGTATTTTTCTTAGATAAATGTTCAACAAGTAAAATTATAGCTTATTATTTTAACTTGAAAATTCCGGTGAAAGTCGAAATTTAGCAGAATCAATTTAACTTTTGCTATAAACTTTCTCATCTGGTCTCTTTCCGCACTTTTATTTATTTTTCTTTTTTTTCTTATTAAAAAGCAGCGAGCGAAGAGTTGCTTTGTTGAAATTGGAATGTGGCAAACAATTTAGCGAGTGGTGCCTGGCAGGCTGGCAGAGCAGTCGAAGATCAATCTGCAGTTGGTGTGTGTTGGCGGTGGTGTTTGCCTTCTATTTTATTTATTTGCAGCAGCAGCTCTCGCTGCCTGCAGAAATTGAAAAACTTTTACGTCAGTGGCACTGCACACAACAATCGAGCGCGTCATTATTGCCGCTTTGTTCCAGTTCGCTTCTTTCCGACTGGCTTGAGGGAAAAGATGCAAGTCGGACAGACGGACGGGCGATTTTATTGGAGCGAGATGCAAAATCCATAGTGTGTATCAAAGAGACGACTTCCGAGCAATTTGCCACTCTATTTCCTTCCCAGCTGCGTTCCCCGGGAGACGTTTCGCTTGCGCCGCGCCAAAGCTGTGCTGGAAACGTGCAAAATTGCGAATTCCTCGCTTTATTAATTGCACTGAGCTCTCGCTACACGGTTGCGTTTTATGGCCATTAGGGTGGCAGGCATTATGCAAATTTAGTCTCCCACTGCCGCGCCGTTGCTGCTGCTTTTCAAATCCGAGTAAAAATAAGCATGAACATTTAAAGAATAGACGTTTTACGTTGCAATTTAAGACTTTTTACTAGCAAGAAGCTAGTCAGTTTAAAATATTCTGCTAATCATCAAAAGCGTATAAGCGCAGCCACAAATAGTACTTCTCCTTCAGATAATTATAATGTTAAAAGAAAATATAACTGTCAGACTTTACAAATATCGAACAGGTAAATAAAATTAAGATTTAAGTTTTGTTCAATTTTATTTGGAAATTATGAAATATTTAAATGTTTTCTTTATAATTTTGTATACATAACTAAATAGTTTTGTATATTTTTACTATTGCTGAATAGTAATTTTCTTTTCGTCCTGTCTCTGTTTTCACTATTTTGCTGTTAATTGAAAGTTATGATCATTAAATTGCATCTGGAAAAAAGGAGTTGTAATGGTTTATAGGTGTAAAATATACATTCAATTTTGTCAGGCAATCTAATTTACAAAAATTTTATAGCTAATTTATAAATGCTTATTTCTTGTATTATATTTATTATATTATTTTTTAAGTTTATTTATTTAATTTTCTTTATTTTATTTTAAAAATTTATTTGATCATCATTTAGAATGATCAGAGCAGCATATTAAGAAACAAGTTGTCTGAAATCATATTTATTTGCCTAACATTATATTTTATTCAACACAAACACTAAATTGCATTCTACTTTAACTCTCAAAGAGTCATGTGTTTTGGAGCATTCTCATTGTTTGTGTTATTATAAATTGGTGAATATTCAAAAGCAGAATAAAAATATAGAAATAATTTAAACAGCATTTCTTCACAATGATCACTACAAAATAGATGAAAATGTTTCCTTATTAAAGGATTCATTATTTTCAGGAAAATAAACGTGCAAAATTCTAGTGGAATCTTTAATTTTGGAAAGAAAACGCAACTCGATTATTGGTCTGGAATTTAATATTCATGCAAGAGAGAGCTAGACACTTGTAAATCTGTTTGAGAAATGCACAAATCGGAGGGAAATAACTTGCACCGAAACGCACCCCTTCTGAAAACTCAAACTTCCCACCCACGTCGGACTGGCTGTTGAGAAATCAACAATTCGCTGTGTATATAATATTTTCAAGTGGCAGGAGCACATCAAAAATTTCATTACACGCGCCGAGAGTCGCAAGATGTAATAAAGAGTCGAGAAGCTTATTATTATTTGCCGACAGCAGCAGCCCCTGCGTCGCGACCGGCGAGGTACAATTCGCATAATATTATTTAATGAAAAGACCCCCCTGCCTCCACTCTCTGGAGAGGAACAATATGCGCAGACCGAGATTGAAACAAATCGTCGGGCGAAATTAAATAATGAGGGAAACAATATGATCCGCCCTCGGCCGACGCGGCGCAACTCAAATAATATTTTCTTATAAATCTGCCACCGCGAGCGCGCAACAATGAGCCGCTGCTGGTGCTGCCAAGTGGGGGACGCATATAAATTTCAACCCCTCCGAGAAGCAACCCCTTCCAAATTACATCATAACGCAATCTTTCTATTAAGGAGGCGGACGTGGGCTTTTGCTTTTTTGCTTGAAATGAGAATTCGGCTGGCTCGCTGTTTTGCATGGCGCCTAATTGAGCAGATTAATCAAAAGCACAGCGTGTTTTTCTTGACAGGCACAAACATGATTATGAGTTATGGCACTGCCTACTGCTCTCTCTGTGTTTTTCTCTCCTCTACTTTTAATAGACACATCCGCCGAAATTAAATGGCCGGATTAGCGTTGAGTTTCCTCTCTGCGAAAATAAAACGTACCGCTGAGGGGGGGTGGAGATTTATTGCAAGTCGCTAGATTTTTTTCAGAGGTAAGAGAGAAAGATAAAATTTAAGCGTTGAAACTTTTTGAAGTAACCAAAAATATATTGTTTTAACTTTTTACAGTAAATTAATTAGTATAATGTTTTCTTATATTTAAAAGAATTTTATTTTTATTTTAATTACATATTAAAAGTAATATTTTTTCTTTTAAATTTTATTGTAATAACTGTATGTTTTATTATTACTATAATTATCATTTATCAATTCTAAATAAAGTGAAATGACATTGTAAATATTATTATTGATCTTCCAATTAGTAGTTTTATAAATTTATAGCAACAAAGTCAGTGAATGCTTAATTGTAAGTTTATGAGGACAAAAGTTACTTAATTATCCACCTGTGACCTGTTGTGAATTATTATTCGGATTATTATTATCAATTTTAACTCATTCTACATAGAAGCAATATAAACAAAGCACGTTACCACATAAAATAATCGACTTATTAATTTAATACAAAGGTTTTAAAAAGCTCCACACTCATCCATTTGAGATTTATTTTTATTTTTAAGCAACCAACATTGACAGTTTTAAATTTTTTACTGTAAAAATTTTTAAATAATGCTATAATATTTAAAAACGTTGCTTTTTTAATTTGACTTATTAATTTTAATAATTTTAAATAATTTGCATTAAAATGATTTTTTGTATAAAATTTACAAACTTTAAATAAACTGAAGTGAGATCGTAGACTTGTTTTATCTCGTAAGTGTTTTTATCAATATATATAGCAACAAAATCACAAAAACTGCATAGTGTGAACGACAAAAGTTGGTTGCTTAGGTTCCATTGGTTCTAAAATTGCGCATCTTTGGATATGATTATTACTAATTTTAATTAATTCAACATAGACCACTTAAATTATCAAATTTTTATTTAATACCAAGTTTTGTACGTTGTTGATTAAACTTTCAAAAAGCTCCACACCCATGCATTTGAGTTGACGGATGTTTATTATTACTCCAAAAATTTTCTTAACGATCGCCGTCAATTTTTGCTAATGGAGAGTTGCGTACAGAATGGCCCAGGAGAGCAACAAAAATTTATACAAATATGGATATTTATTCCCTAATGGCCAAGTGCTTTTGCGCGCGCGGATATAAAAGTTTCAAACTGGCTGGGTGCGCGCGTTGCTCAGGATTTTATATGAAATATTTTGCGAGCGCCGAGCTGGGTATTAAGTATTCAGGCCGCACTCCGGCAAAGTGTTTATAATCGCGCACGCGGCCAAATTTCATCATATTATATTATACTCGTTGGCACAGGCGCCACCGCGAAAGACTTTGAAAGGGGTGCACTTGTTACGAGGCCCGCGGTAATTAGTTTCACGGCGATACTCGCGCTTTTAAGCGATGTGCCCCTGCATAGTTTCCGAAGGGGAGATTCTCGCAAATTTATGCTCCATTACGATTCGAGGAATTCTCGCGCTCTGCATACTTGTGTCTTATTTAAAATCATTCCCGGAAATTTCCCCCGACTGAGATTAATAATCACGGCCATTATTTTATGCTCCACGCTTCTATGTTTAAGGCCTTTTTGATAACACTCTATTTTAGCCTTTCCTTTTCAATCGGAGGCGGAAATTGCATTTAGGACTGATCGATGGATTTAATTTGATTCGGAAAGTTCAGAACAAAAGCGTTGGAAGTTGGAAGCGGCGTGGGAGTTTTTTTGTAGTTGCGTCTGACCCGACCAGGTGATCAATAAATACGTTAGGCCGTATTTACGGACGTGTGTGTTGTGTGTGAGCCGCGTCAAATAATTCAACGGGATGATGAAATAATTGACCCGTCGTGTGCAGCCAGTTGGCGCGCGCTCTCGTCAGGCAAGAGTGAAAAGTCGTGTTCACCGCTGATATTCGATTCCGAGCTGAATTTGGCGCTAAATGTGCGCGGATTGAGAGCCGTAGTTGGCAGATCATCCACGTGCAGACAGACAATCGCAATTTGCGCCGGGATTTCACTTACTATAAAACCATTTCATCGGGTGCAATTTATCATTATTTGCATTGATTGGACGAAATTTAGAATTCTCGAATTGTTGCCTTTTATTATTATTGCTTGTTAAATTAGTTACGCGTTGCATTTAAATCTGTTGTAAGGTGATTCTTCTACGGGGTTTTGGCCAAAACTAGAAATGCTGCAATGGATTCCAAATGATTCAGATTATAAGATTTGAACTGTTGTGTGTTAATGTTTCAAGTATAAAAATGATTTATTTTCGCCCCATCGCTTCTCTACAGGTGGCCAAAGTAATGTCCGAAGATCGAAAACGGGTAAAAATCCACGTTTTTCTACCTTCTCATGCTCGTAACTTTCCATTTTGCAAAGTAAACTATAATTTTCTAGATAGCTCTCGATTCGCACGAAGTTAAAGTATCGAAAAAAAGCAAAAAAAAAAAAATATTCTGTCATTTTATTACCCTCAGAGAAATAGCATTTATAAATGGGCCATTAAAATTAAAAAAAAAAAAAACTCAAGATTTCTCAGGGGTTGATAAAATGACAGAAGAGATATACTTATTTTGCTTTTTTTTTTGGATACTTTAACTTCGTGCGAATCGCTATCTAGAAAATTATTATTTTTACTCTGCAAAATGGAAAGTTACGAGCATGAGAAGGAAAAAAACGTGGATTTTTATCCGTTTTCGATCTTCGGACATTACTTTGGCCCCCTGTAAAGAAGCGATGGGGCGAAAATAAATAATTTTTATACTTGAAACATTAACACACAATAGTTCAAATCTTATAATCTGAATCATTTGGAATCCATTGCAGCATTTCTAGTTTTGGCCAAAAGTTGGACAAAAAGAAGAATTATTTATCATCACTTGCGAGATCGAAAAGACCTCAACCGCCACAGTGCGACTCGGGATGAATATTTTTCATTATTTATCGCAATAATTATAATTTTAATCTTTACTTTATAGATACATTTAGAACATTACATTAAAAAAAATATTTTATAAAAATAATAAGCATTTAAAACTTTCTTTCATTGAAATATAAGATAATGATTTATTTTGTGAGAGTACAAATAATTCCTATATGACCAAATTTATGATAAAAATAATAATGCCAAGTTAATTGAGTGGTAAAATTTTATAACTTCTTTTTTTATGTTGCATGAATTTAAAATAAAAATAAAATAAATAAATTCGGTGGACGTTTACAACTTTTGCAAAGTTTATTAGTTTACAAATACTTTTGATGATCGTTTACTCGTTTTTAAAAATCCCAATCTCTTCAAAGTTTGTTGGACGGTGCGAATCAGTTCGTCCTTATATCTCCAAATAGACGTATCCAAAGTCAAAGCACCGTCCCTCATGGTCATGCACTCTGGTTTGTTCCGCCCACTGCAGTAGTGCTGCAAATGAGCTTCTATGGTATCGAAGTGGACGCTTTCGCACCAAAACTCGTCATTGCCAATGCACGCCCGAGCGTAGTGGTTGTGAAGAGCCAAAATTAAATCCGTGTCATGGAACGCTTTGACGCCATATCCGGCCCGAACGTAATCAGAATTGCGAAGAACGTGCTGCAGCATGTGCATGTAGCGGGGAATGTCCGGGTGCCAGTCGTTGTATTCCTTCTTGTCGTCCATGAAATGAATGTTTCCGGCCATAAAGGACGCGTAGGTCACGTTTTTTGCAGCACGGGCATTTGGCACGGTCCTGTCGAAAATCAGCTCAGGCCATGTCTCCACTTTCAAGGGAATGATAACCTGAGGATAATTTGAATTTTACACTAAAAAATTTCCATATTTTAGTTAGAAACAGAAAATACTCATTTATATTTAGGCAAAATATAAACGTCCGTCATCATAAACTGTTTGAAATAATTTATTTATATAAAAATTGAGTGTAAAATACTTTTGTTCATTCAGATTATTTATAATAAAATAAAACTATTTAATCTTGATCAAGTGAAAAATTGAACTTGCAATGGAATGTTGAAAATGTATTGATAACAATGTGGAAAAAGAACAAAATCAAAAAATTAAATAAATAAAATGAATAAGAAAACAAGTTAATAAATATTTTAAATTAATTATATAAAATTATTGTATAATAAATTTACAGTTGTTATTAACAAAATATATTAAATAATTCAGAAAACTTACTTCATCCACGTCAAGAAGTACAATATACCGATATTTAAGGAAATTCATATAAAAACAATCGGTATACTGAATAACTTCATGGAAAGACTGAAATGAAATTCTCTCTTTTAAAAAAGTTCCCATAAAATCCGGAATGTTTGAACTGTGCCCCGGCAAGGAGGTTTTGACCACGTCTAAATTCCACACATTTGAATAATGATCCAGAACCGTGGAGATATTCGCATGAATCTGGAAAGATTTCTTAATTATTTGCTTCCCATAAAAAAAACTTTTAATCTTACTGCTAATTCATAGAAAGTTATTTTATCTGCGCCTAGAATTTTCAGCAGCTCGATCCACTCAACCAATCGCACGGCCATGTCAGCTTTGTGTTTGAAATTCAACGCTTTCACGCAAACTGCAAAATTTTCTTTTTCTCCCGATTCGGGGAGATTGTAAATCACACGGAGATTATTGGTTGCGTTTTGACACGGATATCCAACAAGTGAAACCGATTCCGGCACCCGGGACTGAAACCCCTCAGGTATTTTGCAGCTCCATAAGTAGGGCTGCAACGGTTTCTCGTCGTAAGACCAGAGCTTGTTCCACATGTAAAGTGCGTGATGGACCTAATGAAGATTAAAATTGAATTTGTTAAAATTAATTAAAAATATGAAACTTTTGAAATTATTGGCTTCGGCTCATTTGCAAACCAGATTTGGCAAAAGGCGTCCGGAGCTTCGAGCTTATCAATCATGCCAATAATTCTTATCACAGGACCATCGGCTAATGGCCTATCGTCGAGATAAGCCCCGTACAAGTAATACGATGCATTTCTCGTTTCCTCCACTTGCCAGTAGATGTTGTTGTATTTTATGTCCAACGCATTTGCATACTTGGCACAGGTGAAGTTAATGTTAGGACCGTATTCGTTTAGGTGAGCAACGAACACATTAGGATTCGTTTTTACAATCTGTAATAATAAATTAATGTGGCTCTTGAAATTGCAATTTTTCTGACATACTAGATTTTTCACAATTTCTTCCGTGAAGATTGTGTCGTCGACATTAATAATAACGCTATCTTCTTCCGATAAGGATTTTTCATCATTGTCTAACAAATAACTCGATTCGTCAAACTGAGCAATGGAATTTGAGGTCTTTTCATTGATGGAGAGCGAGAGCACAATGACGGACACAAGAAAAGAAATGCTCAAAAGCGTGAACCTCCACAGAAAGTTTCTCCTGTACGCCATTGATAATTCTCACTGGAACCTTTCATTTCATTTATGTTTGTAATAAAGTTAGCAACTTTTAAAGTTAATACAAAACAATAATAATTACTCAAGAAACTGCTTCTCTCGACTGCAGGGTTTCAACTATCCAGACAATGAGTGTCATTCCACTAATTTCACTCTTTACTCTTACATTGCACTCTTAGTTTGCCAATGCAATATGAAAATGAGAGATAAAAAGCAATCAGAGCTTTTTAATTTTATCAGCTACTTCAAGTAGGCGCACTACATGTGAACGGTTTAATAACCTACATATAACTGTCAAAATTAACAAATAATTTTTCTTTTTTAGCTTGACAGATCTTATCAAAATTGTTTTTGATAAAGCTTTTCATTTACATTAATCAGATGTTTTCAATAACCGAATGTATATTTTAATATCATTTTTGACTGAGAACCTAAGCACTGATTATTTTATTATATTCATAATTTTTCTTAGGAATTTTAAAGAACGTTTATGAATTTATTACTACTGGTTTGATTTTATCTTTTTTGATCTCTTATCAATAATTACGCTTCTGATTGATTTCAACCACCTGTTTACAGATGCATAAAATTTACGAGTTGCAAAAATGCACGATGTTCTTTTTTAAGCCAAATTATTTGTATTATCGTCACGCTCAGATCTGAATTCGAATTACTTTCAGGCTCAGAGAGATTTGCAACGGGATTTATATTTATTGCACCTCACTTTGAACGTAGCAAACCGCGGCGCGTGAATTGATTTCGCTGGAATTGGAAAGTAGCAGAGCAGCCTTTGTGGTCGTGTTCGTCGCTCTCGAAACGCGGCTTGGCAAAATAAAAGGAAATTGCGCCGTTTTAATTTCCTCTCGTCGCCTCCAATTTAAATAAGCACACCGTGTGTGAATGAGTACGAAAGGGCAATAACGAACGTACACATTTATAAAATGTGTGGAATGAATAAATATAGTGGGTCGGCGTGTGCGTGGTTGTTCTGGCATTATGGACTGGCCAGCTCGGTCAGCGCCGGGACAAACGAGCCACAGAAACGCCAGCTAAACCGCACATGGACGGACATTGACGGTTATCTATGGCTTGAAAATATTATGAAAAGTTCTATCATTAATTTTAAATTTCAGTGCCAAAATGCTTTATTAAAAAATTTAAATGATTTTAAACATTTTTAGCATGTTTATATACCTAATTAAAATCTCTTTAAATCGTTCAAATCAATGAACAAAAGATCATTATATATGCTTACATCAAAAATAATTTCAAATTTCAATATTCCTCCTTTTCTTATTGAAAGAAGAGATTAAAAAAAAAATGCCCAAGTAGAAAATAAATAGATGAAATTTCTGCTTGAACTTTATAACATTTTCAATTCAATTCAATTTATTTTACTCCTAACAAGTAGTCAGTACAATAAATTGTGAAAAAAATGGGTGGGGAGAAAAATAGGCACACAGTGCTAGTGAACAACTCACTGAAACTCATAACCGCGTATTTACCAAGAGACGATAAATATCCGATTACTCGCCGCACTGCAGCCTAAACTACGGGAAAAAAATTCAAATTTGTTTAAAATGCTCTTTGCACAATTTTGGGAAATTATTTGACGCACACGATTTTAACACAGAAGGGAGGGAGTTCCATTGGGACGAGATTGTTTCAATATTAATCCATTTTTTCTCCCGCTATCTTAAAAAAAGCCATTTTCAAATTCTAAAATTCATTGGAAAAATCCACCTTGTCCCAATTGAGCTGTAGCAAGACTAGATTCAACTATTTTTATTCAATTAAGAATCAACTGTATTTTTTCGTTGATTGCAGAGAAATAAGAATGGAAAAGTGGCACAAAAACAATCACACAATCAGATTATTCAAAATCGCAATAGTGTCCAAATTGATTTAATCTTACTTAATCTCAACATATTGCAGAGTCAATTTAGTTCGTCTCATCATTAAAGAAGTACTTAAAAGAGAGATGAAATCAATGACCTACTTCTTTTGCAAAAAAAAGGAGATGAAATGGAAAATAATCACTCTAATGGACTTGCGAGTCAGAATTATGCCCCGTTTAATTGCTGCAAAGGGAAAGGATTTTCACCGCTTTTGTTCTAAATCGTGTCGCCACAATGACGAAACGCGCGCGCGCTACCAAAGAAGGAGAGTAAAAGCCGACGTGTGCCCCAATTACGTAGCAATTTAATCACACCTTCGCACTCTCGGCCGCGCCAAGACTCGTGCGAAACGACTGCGCGAGAATTATAATTATAATCGTCGTTATTATTACAAGTGTTATGCATAATATTGCTGTAATGGAAATTCAGATTACGATCTAAATGGCACACAGTCAGCTTTTCCATTCGGTAATGCAGCCGCTGGAAAAGCACCACTCTGGAGCCGCTGCCATAATAATTACGAAATAATGAAAAAGCAACAAGAATTGCGCTCTGCTCCGTAAGAGGAAATAACACGATGGATTTAACGCAACTCGCGCTTTCGCTCATACTCGCCGACCACGCGTAAATTTGGGAAATTTTGCCTCTGAACAGGTGAAGCAGGCAACTCTGCTGATTAATATTTGCAAAATAAATTTCGACCACTATTTCCTTTGAAATGAATTCTTTGAAATGAAATACGGTAGGATTTTTCCTGCTGTGTTTTCTATATTTTTTATTATAGCAGTCAAATTTTTCTATTTTTTGTTTCAAGAAAATAAATGGAATATATAACAATTTTGTTCTCCAATTTTTTCAGATCCATGGTATGGAAACGTGACTGAGGAAACCGAAGCCAGTGTAGATGCAAATGAAATGGTCGGAAACTCGATGGTTCATGACTCTGACTGGGAACAATATGAAACAAGTAAGTGAACATAATAATATGCTGTGTAATAATTCATTCTTTGTTGACCAAAAATACATAATAAGATAAAATAATAATCTGTGATTATAATTAAAATCATAAAGCAACAACTTTAATTTTATATTTATTGTAAATTAATAAAATTCTCTTATTTATTATTAAACACGGGTTTATTAAATTTTAATCCAACAAAGGAACACTCTCTTTACATTCTTAATCTGTAAAGAAAATAATTCAGACGCTCCTTTGCACTTTCAAAGGTTTTTTCAAATTATTATTATTATTTAATTAAGCTAATCATAATATTTTTACTATCCTTGTTTTTATGGTATTTATTTATTTTTTATAAATTTAGTAATAAAATTTATTTATTATATTATACCATATTTCTGTAAATAAAGAACATTAAAATTTAAATATATTGTTCTTTAGCATACACACGAGAAAATTAAATATTAATTCTACATGTATTATAATCCATCTATAATTGGTTACGTTATTCTCATAAAATATTTTTACTTTTTCAGTAACCTTTCAATATTAATGGAACTTAAAAATTAGCATCAATTATTAAAAATTGTAAAATAAATGACTGGTTTATTAAAAAGATTAAAAGTAAATAAACAATTCAGAAAAGGTAAACGATGAAATAAAAATCAGCATTTGGAATTTGGATTTTGGGGCAATTCTTTTGGAGAAAATTAAGTGAAATACGAGACGAGTTTATGTAACGAAGGCAAAATGTGGTCCGCGGAGAGCTAATCAGAGCTTAACGGTCGGCTTTGTTTTTGTTTTTGGTGCAGTCGCCGCTCCGCACGAGGGCCAAAGTTACGTGGAAGTGGTGGTCGGAGTGCTTTCGGCCATCTCTCTGCTGCTGCTGCTTGTGTTTGCGGTGATCGTGGTGCTTAGCAAGAGACACAAGCTGCAGGGATCACCCACCACCATCCTCAGGAACTCTTTCGGAGCCACAATCAACATGAAGGTATGTTTTCCTCGTTTTGTGCAAATCTCCCCATTACGAGTCCATTAAATACGAGGGGGATTAAAACTTGCAGATTTTCCCTTAGAGGATTTTCAAGCTAATTTTTAAGAACTCTTTTTCAACTTAATACTTTATATATTATAGTTAATTTTGTCTGGTTTATTTTAAATTTTGAAATTTTTAATTCGTTTGCACAAATAAATTTGTAGAAAAAAACCGTCTAAGGGAACTTACGACTTTTTATGCTTCGAATTTTCATTTCTTACGAATGATTGGAAAAAAACAATAACGGAAAAATTTATTATTCAAAAGATTAGGAAAATGTTTCAGTCTTATATATTTAAAAAAGCAATCTCATTGTGAGTTATGAATAAATAAACGCCATTTCCCATATCTGCCGACGTTTTAAAGCCAGGAAATTGACAGAAAGGGGCTATTAATTTAAAATAAAAAGCATCAAATCGCCGCCATAAATATGCCCGGCTTGATAGCTCTGATAAAACCATTACTTTGGAGTAAAATCGAAATTAGATTCATACTTGGGGTGCCGCACACGGCGGGGGTGCATGAAAATTTCGAGATAAAGTGGGCCGCAGGTTTTTGTGTCCGAGTCACGAGCGCAGCTAGGGCCGCATGTGGAAAGAGCCACTTTTAATCATCGCATGTCGCTGCCATAATATATTTCAGCCAAGGGTATAATTTAGCCTGCAGTCGTTTATCAAATCACTGGCAGCTGGCACCAGGCACACACTCACGCCGCAAATAATTTCGCGCAAAGCCGATAAATAAATTTGCATCAAAAATGAAAACGCTATGGCCGCTCCGCGCTCAATTAACCAAATGCGCGCCGCCAAACACAAATTTCCCGCCTGCCAAATATCATCACCGCCGTTTGCGCTATTTCTGAATTACCGGTACCGGTTTTGCTCTCTTTTTTTTGTAAATTGCGTTCCTCTGTAAATCTGCTCTTATTACCTTCTATTTTCAAGCAAAAAAGTTTATTAATTACTTTAAATGACGTGACTGGCTTAATTTACGAGTTTAAATGTCTAACTCTAGGATTAAAGTTTTACAATTTTTAAGTTTCGTTGTATTTTTACCAATGTACAAAATTCACTCAACCGTATTATTTGAGTCATTCAATTCAAAACATTCAATAAAATACTAATTTCCTAATGATATTTGCTCAAGCTTCGCCTATTGTTATGAATACTGACGTCATTTGACTAATATTTGAGCATTGAATTTGTTTAAGGCTATTTTCAAATTGCATTTCAGCTGGATTTTCATCGTTTTTTTTTAACTTGTTTCGTGATTTTTCTATAAATTCGAAATAGCAGCAATGATAATAAATATTTTCTCTAAACATGAGCGCGTCAAAATGATTACAATAAAAGATTGAACCTGATCACATGTGTGATGCGGTTTTGGTAAAAACTAAACACTCCTGGAAATATCGTAATATAAATTCCAGTTTCCATTTCCGCCAGCGACTTATCAAAATTATAGCGTTTTCAGCCAATTTCAAATGCGCAAAGCGGACGCTATCAACATTGCAGGATTTTCCAAGTGAAGTTATATTTTTATTCAACTTCTACTTCGCCATGCCCCCTTCACAACTCAAATGTTTTATAATAAAATTTGCTACACAAATTATAAATTATTTTAAAAGTAAAAATTCATGTTAAATTCATGTTGAATTTTGAAAATTAAAAATTAATAAAAAGTAAACGAACTGAAAAAAATTATATATTTGCTGTAATTATGTAATATTAACAATAATAACTTACTAATAATAGTTTGATAAGATTTCATTGATTTCTTCAATGTTTGTTACTCAAAAGTTACTCAAAAAGCGTTTCAGCTTATATCAGCTAAATTTAAATTGAAATCATTTATGTCTCTACTCATCAGCAATGAATACAAAAAGTAATAGTGCATTTGCTGTTGTATAGTACGTTGGAAATACTTGGAAAAAATTGTATTTAATATCCTTCATCCTTCACGTCACTCTTCTATAGCAATTCTTAACGCTCTGAAGGAACAACGACGCAAGTCATTCGCCTCGGCTTCTGTACTGCTTGTCGGTTTCTCGCGTATGCAACTAGCTCAGCGCACTTGTCATGCCAGTTGCATATCCAAATGCAATTTGCTCGAAGCGTCGTCCATAATAAAACGCTACTACCTCCACGCTATTATATACCATAAACGGAGGCCTTTCTGCTGAGGCGCATTACGACTTTTCATTTTTGTCACTTCGCCGTCCATAAATCGATTTCCGATATTTGCATTTTGATGTTTGCTTTGGGATTATCGTAAGTAGTTGACCTCTTGAATGAGGCAAAAAATACAGACTAAACATGATAAATAAAATAGTTTTGAAATTGGATGTGGAAAAAATATAAACTATTATGTTGATTGCTATTTTTATTGTTCAGTCATTATATTTGTGTTGTATTTTTGTTTTGCAAATTTTTTTTAAACATTTTGTTAAGTATAATTTACTTTTGATATATTGCGTGTTTTAGCAGAATCCCAGACTTAAGCTTTGAAACCCTCTTTTCAATTTTTATATTATGAATTGAGTACAACAAACGATTACAATGGCAAGAATATCCAGAAGCCATTTTACCGTCTTTTAAGAATATTGAAATAAAAAAAGCAAGAGATGTTTGCATTTTTTGCAGTTATTATTCAAATTGTGGCTGTAAACAGTGTAAACGAGTGGAACGGTTGTAGAAAATTGCATTCAGAGCTCTCTCGTGCCAGCTCGCCATTCTTCAAATTGAAACTTGCACGGTCAACAATCGATGGAACAGCGTCGCCGGTGATGTTTACCTGGGGAAAAATTAAATTTCGCCATCGTGTGGCGCCGCCGCCGCTGCTGTTAGGCGAGGAGAAAAACGTGTTTAGATAGCACTTTATTGAAAAAGGCACGCTAAATTAGAGTGTGTAGCGTCGTATCTCGCCATCACCGCGGCAACAAAACAAATTTCGCGTGCTTTCAAAAATTTTCACCCAGAACATTTTACTCCGCAACGCCAGCATCGCAGATAATGGCAATGAGTAATGCCTTTTGACGCCCATTTTCCCGTCTTAACGGCAGCTGAAAGGACGTGTACTTTTTGGCGCGGTGGCCTACAAAGCGGCGGGAAACGCATTAATTTTCTCCGTTTTTGTTCACTTTTTCCAACATACCATATTTAAAAAGGGAGAACACAAAAATTTCATAAAAGTTATCACCATGGTGGAGGTTTGTTTGCTTCAAAATTTAAGTCTCATAAGATTGAAGAGACCTAAAAAATTACAGAACGTGCTTTTCAGCAAAACTTTTCCCATTTTAAAACTTGATGATATATTGATAATAACTAGGCAGACCTGTTTTCATAATATTTATGTGAATAATTTTATGCAATCTATGTCAAAATGTCTTAAAAATCTTTTTCCGCCAATTATTTTTCTCTATAGTCTTTGTTTTAAAAGTTTTAAAAATTCATTCAAATTTTCCAAAAACATTCGTTCTTTAATTATTATTTTTTATGTATTATCAAATTAAGAAAGAGTTCAAATTTTTCAATTTAGGTTGTTGTGACTCTTTGTTAGGTGTGATGTTGAGCCCGAGTCTCTTAAACTGAGCAGCGCATTCAGGTTCCCTTTTTGCAGGACCTGCTGATGAACCTGTCGCCGATGGGCAACAGTCTCGTGCCCATGAGTGGCCCCCTGACGCCCCCGTCGCCGGCAGCCACGCCTCTGCGCCAGGGGTCGCCCCCACCACCCACCTTGGAGGAGCTTCTGATGACGCCGTCGGCGCCGCCGTCCTGTCCGAGCCCTCAGGGCAACCAGGTGCCGCTGAGTTCGTCGTCCAACACCCTTTACTACGAGAGGCAGTACCGGTCGCCTCTGATCGACGCCGCCAGGGCGCAAAATGGATACGCGGCCACTGCTAATCTGCACCGTGGAACGTCACTCTCAGCAGGTAATTATTGATTTTCTCAGAAATGTTATATTTTGTTTATTTATATATTTATTTATTTATTATTCTCCATCAATTACAAAACATACAATCAAAAAATTTACAAAAAAAGATTGTTCTGAAAATACAAGTTTCCCCCCCCCCCTTCTTTTTATACATTTCGAATTTCGTATTTTTGAAGTTGCTAAAAAAAAGTTTTTTATGTATATTTGAATGTTTATTTCCAATTATATTTGGTCATAGTAAGCGATGTAATTGAATTTAGCAATTACATAATTGAAAATGAAATGGAGCGAGTAATTGAATATTGAAATGTAATTGCTTGTTGGTTACAGAAAAGAAATTGTACAATATTGATTTTAAAATTTAAATTGGTTTATTAATTTATTGATTGATAATTTATATTTGATAACAAATAATTAACAACGTCACCCTTACGTTTGTAAAAGCACACAAATATTTCTGGCAAATATTGACGTGATAATAATACTAAATTGATGAAATTGTAAACACCGTATTTCAATACGCGTAAAAAGTAAAAAGGTAATTTCATAATTTTGAAGCTAATTTATTAAAAAATTTGAAAAATTTACCTAATAATGCAATTAGTATTAGTGTTGATAGTCGTGCGATTAGTTAAGATAAATTAATCACCTTTTATTGATCTGCAATAGATCTTGATGGAAGCGACATTGAAGACGAACATTCGCCGCTGAGATACAACAGCATGGAGGGTTCATTGCAGACCGGCGAGAGGTCCTCGAACAACCAAATCGTCAATTTGGGCAACTACTTTCCCAGGGTGGCCTCGGAGCCCACAAACCGCAAGAGATACCACACTGCGCCGAGAGAGAAACACAGAGTGAGTTCCAAAAACTTTTCCTCACAATCACACTTCCCTAGCTAAAAATACCAGTGGCTCCTTCAAATTATCCTTCAGATTTCACCTGCCAATTTTCCTGGTAGGTAGATTTGCTTTCCTTTTCCTTTGAATTCAAAACAGATTAATTTGTTCTCCGAAGCGAAGCACATTCCCGAAATAAGCAGGTTTAATTAGAATTCCATTTTCCAAAGTGACAGCTCCTGTCATATTAATTATAATCAATGATTTGCTTGACGGTGCAATACTTGTAACCTAAATTCCTGGAATTCATAACCGTCATTGTTTCGCTCAGCTTCCTGGAACTGTCCTGCTGCTCCACTCAACTTTCCAACCCTGCTCTTTTCTTCCAACCCCGTTTCGACCCACACACGGTGGTGTATTTTAATCACGGGCATTTACAAATATTTGCGCTCAAAGTTCAAAAGAGTGTCTGCCCGAATTCAGTAGAGTGGACAAGAAATGAGAGTGTGCGCCGTGGCCGCACATTAATCATCGTCCCTGGTCAGATCCCGAGCTTGTCTGTTGACTCGCGCGCGCTCGGTGCGGTGGGTGCCGCCGGTAAACACGCCCGGGAATAAAACGCCGGCAATATAGCGGGAACTTGTTGTCCGGTGCCAGTGGCGGACCAGGAGGAGAAAAAATTACCGCTTCAATGGCTCCTCTTAAGTCAACACATTTCACTCCAGCATTGATGCCCGAGCCGAGAAAACGTGGCTCAATTTCTTTTAAACCGTCCCCGAGCCTTATCGACCCGGTTCATCTAAAATGCTCCTTAACTGGCGCTTTTGCACCCACAATCTGTTTCACAATTTTAAGCCATCCTGAAGTTAAATTACATAACTTTGCTGGGCAGCTAAAGTAATTAATTAATGAAGATTACAAAATTAAAAATGGATGCAATGTCAATTCCAATTGTTATATAATTTTGAACTATCCAACTATCTTAATATCTGTAATAATTAAAATATATTCTTCTTATTAGCCTTGGTTTAAGTTCCTATTATGTTCCTATATTTTTTTCTTTATCAAATTATTGTTTAGAATTATTAAAACACACATTGGACGAAGTAAATCGCTTTAATGCATTTTCTACTGATAATGTGATATTTAGTTCTGGAAATTCTATAAAATATATTTTTACAGAGTTATTTAAATTATGTTTTTTTTTAAATGATGTATTGTAAAATAAAATAAAAAATCCCTCTAACTTTTCATTTTAACAAATAAAAATATAATTTAAATAACAACATAAAAGAAATTGTTTAACAAAGTAAAAAAACAAGAAATAAATTTATATAAATACATACAACTTTTATAAACTTTATATTAAATTATAAATTAGTTGCAGAATAACCAGGCAAAATAAAAATATTTCTTAATTCTGAATAAAGAACAGGTTGGCCCCTTTTAATTAATCCACGAAAAGCGCATCAATGTTGTGGGTGGCCTTTTGACAGGCGCGTGCGCCGAAATCGTTAATTCCGCTCTTTGGCGCGGTCACGCCGAACCGCACGGACAGAAAACGCACACGCGCGGCCAGCAATATATATATTTTTAATTAAAACCGACCTGTGTGTGCACTTTGAGCCGTGAAATCACAAAGGGATTAGAAGTGACTCTGTTGTGCGCGCTGCGTCAAAAAGGGCAGCGCCGCCCACACACCGCAAATATAATATAGTAGTTGTCGAATTAACGGGGGTGACTAATTGAGAGCGGTGGTTTTGTTGCAGGTGCCACCGCCAGTCGTGTCGTGGAACATTGCGCCCAGCATGGGTCACCCGTACAAGTGCAGGGAGGCCGAGGTCAACGACATTCCCCGCTGCATGATCCAGATTGTGCAGAAAATGGGAGTCTGCCATGCAGGAGAGGTGAAAAATTTATAATTCAAACCATAAAAAGTTTTATAATTAAAAAGAAAGAAATTTAAATATTTTTCTTCAAATTTTTCAACTTTAAATTATTAAATTTTATATTAAATTATTATTTCCGATTTTTTAGTTAAATTAAAAACCAATATCACAATCTTTGAAATTTTTAGGGAGTTTTTTTTTAATACTTATGGAATTAATTAAATTTTTTTTTCGCCCAGGTCCTTCTTTGTGAAGTCGACAGTCCTGAAGAGGTGGGATCAAACTGTCCTTTGGTGGCGGTCAGGGTAAACAACGATGACGAAGGCGCCACTAGCGAGACAACCCTGCGCGAGATCCGATTCCTCTCGTCTCTGCAGGACAACAATGTGGTCCGCATGTTGGGCGTCGTGACCTCCGAGCACCCTCACTGGACCGTGCTGGAGTACCCAGAGCTCGGCGATTTGGCGCACTTCCTGCAGTTCAGGATCGGACCTTCACAACCGCCAACCTCGCCCTGCCCTGGAAACACCGCCTCCCTTCGACCAAATAGCCTGCAAACGTTAAGGTAACTATGAAATGGTAGATGTGTTTAGTTAAATTACTGTTTAATCCACCGGACATTTTTTAATACTTTTTTAATTGGGGAAATTTATATCTCAACAAAATTTTCTTCTTTAGCCTCACAAATCAAATCAAACTATTTTATTAAATTAACATTTTTTTTTATTAATTTAATTGGACCAGTAATTTTAATAATATCAATAAGATTGCTGCTTAAATGAAATGAATGGTTCACATTTCGCAATATTTGATAGAAGAAAATGTCAGAAACCAAGCTGAAATTATTATTATTATACCGCAGTGGTGTGATGCAACTTGCGAGCCTGCGGAGTAGAGCAGGTTGCATAATTTACAACACCTCGTATAAGCAGGATAAATTTTCACTTCTGCTGGATGCTCTGCATATCTTCATTTTCTGGAGTTTTCCTCTCAAACTCGACGGAAATCACGTTCTCTGGCGTTATTTTAATTAAACTTGGCTCTTTTCAGCTTCGGGTGCCTCATGTTCATGGCGACGCAGATTGCTTCGGGAATGAGATACTTGGAGCAGAGAAATGTAGTTCATAAGGATTTAGCTGCCAGGTATTACCTCGAACCTACCATTATATTAAAATACATAACTCGACCTAGAAATTATTCAACCGAAAATAAAAAATTTTTCCGACTTGCACAAGAAAAAAACTGCGCCGGCGGGGATACAAATATGTTATTATTTTCGAATTTTTCGCAGAAATTGTTTCGTCGGTCGGGGCTACGCAGTGAGAATCGGCGACTTTTCAATGTGCAACCCCATCTACAAAGAGGACTACAGTGAGATCGGCGGCCGGCCTCCGCGGCCCATTCGTTGGCTCCCGTGGGAAAGCATCCTGCTCGTAATTAAATTCCCTCAGACTGGCGCGCCGCCCCCAGAGTAATTCCACGCACTTTTGTTCGTTTCAGGACCGGTACACGTGCAAGAGTAGCTCATGGTCGTTTGCGGTCACCCTGTGGGAAATCCTCACCCTGGCCAGGGATCGACCCTTCAACACAATGTCCAACGAGATGGTCATTCAGAATGCAGAGCGAATGTACTACGGCGGGGAACTCGAGGTACTTTTTTCTACAAAATAATATCGGATTATCTTTTAAACAAAAATTAATAGGTTTTTTTTTAATATATTAAACAACAAAAATTAAATTTTACAGCAGCGTAATTACAATAAAATTATGTAAAAAGATGGAATCTTAAAAACATATTATTTATTATTATTTTATTAATGTAAATAAATATAGGAAAAAATTATTTTAATCTAAATATATATCATTATTAATAATATAATTATTGTTGTACTCAAAATTTATTTTATACCTTGAGTTATTTGAAACTTATTTTTGAATTTTTGCTCAGGTCTTCCTGTGCAAGCCTCCGATCTGTCCAAAGGAAGTATACGACCTGATGTGCGAGTGCTGGAGGCGTGAAGAGGACATGCGGCCCTCGTTCAAGGAAATCCACATGTTCCTCAAGCGCAAGAACATGGGCTACCAGCCCAACAAGTAAACTCGCATTCAACAAAATATTGTCCAGTTTTTGGAATGTCGGTTGACTCTCAACAAATGGTGCTTCCAGGATCGAAAGACGAAACGCGCGCTGGTTTCTCTCACACTATTCTAATTAAAATGTAAAACTCCTCATAAATTGTAAATATCATTGATAAAAATGAAGGTTAAATTGCAAGAAGAGGAAAGACTCGAGTCACGAGTAGTATTTTTATCATTGGCTAGCAGCAGGGTATATTTTAATATTTTACCACAAATGGACGAAAGAGAGCCGGTGTGAAATTTTAAAAGTGAATAATTGGCTGATTTGTTTGTTGGAGGGGAAAACTATTATATAAATATTCAATAAATGTGTAAATACAATATTATCTGGATGTACATTTTTAGGCACTGACTAATTGTAAAGAAATTCTAGTCGTAAGATTGTTCAAAAGGCGATATAGTAGTGTGCGTTGCTGGAAGATGTTATTGAAAATCCAAAAGTGAGAATTTGTTAAATTAGTTATGTAAAAAAAAAGCTATGAAAAACATTCGAATGGACCATTGCAAAATTCCTGATAGTGTCTAGACTATTAAGTGATCTGGAATTAAATCTTTCGGTGGATCGAATCGATAACTCGTAGGATTTGCAGCAATTCTGCGTATTCAAGTAAAAATTTCAACTCTGGGCACAAGTCTATTGCATTTTTATAAAGAAAATTCTACTAAAATTATTAAAGTCTTCATTTAAATAGTATTTTGAAGTAGATGAGCAAAAAATAATGCGTGCATTTATAAATTTCAAACATTCAAAATTGTCATCTAGAAACTTAGCATTATTTTGAAAGCATTATCCTCATCTCTAGTCAAATATAAGTGTGATAAATGCAAATTAATTACTAACTAAGATGTAAGGCACACCCAAATTATGATTTAATTTTGAGATTCTTCTGTAAAATATCAATTTAATTAATTATTTTTTTTTTTATACAAATTCACTTTGGAGGTTAAGAAATCTAGGCAATGCTATAGATTGACATAAGTTTCAGAAATGATATTAATGAATCATTAATTTATTAAAATGTTGCCAAAACTATCAGGTGCGTCATTAATTAATTGTGATTTTTAATCACTGAAATAATAGGAGAGTTTACGCGCGCCAACTGTGCATATAATCAGTGTGCAACGAGTTCCTCGCCCCTAGTCACGTGGATCCGTAATAATTATTTGTAAAACTGGACTAATTAAGTGTGATGTCATCTCTGTAAAAAGTGGCTAAGGAACTGAAACCAATCATCATTTTGTGTGGCACAAACACGCCTGATTTATTGTTTGTTGTTAATTATAACATGAAAAATTCGTCAATAAAATCATCAAATAAAGCTGATAATGGAGACATGATTTCTTTTTCTCAGCTACATTAATTATTAATATAGAAATTGAAATTGCAAAACAGTAGATTCCGTCTGGACGAGGAAAAATTCCATTGCAAAATTCGATTTATCACAGCTTGGTAAAATTTTCAACACCGACAGTGCCAATCATAAATAATTCGCAAAAACATCAATTATTAGGAAGCTTCTTTTGATTAGCTTGATTTTCATGTGCAACAACTGGAAGCTATAATACAATATGTGCAGATAATCCATGTTGGATGGTTACAATTTATGGTTATAATTATTAACTAGATCTGGGATCAAATCAACTTTATAATTTTGTCATTTTCACATTATCACATAATTTAAAATTAATATAAATTGAAATTAACTTTAAGTCATATTCGAAGATTGTTAATTTAATCAATTCCTAAGTTTTAAATTAACATTGGTCAAATAGCTGACCATTGCGCGTTCAGTAGAATTTTATAAAAGAATTAGAAAAAGGTTTACAACAATTTTAAATTATTAAAAACACACAGCTGAAAAGATGAGCTTGGAAATACCACCAATCAATACAATTTTTTTGGCCATACATTTTTCACAAATCACTTCAGCGTTCAAATGTTTTTGTTACAATTTTGTTTTCGTCTAAATTCTTAATATTCTACTTTGGAAAGTGTTTCTAGGAAAGAACTACACAATGCGGAGCCAATTACGGAATGTCGTGTCCTAGTGCAGGAAAATCACACGTGGCTGAGTCGCATTGTGGTCGACGCGGCCCCGATAGGACGGGCCGCGTCGTAGCGACGTTCAGACGGGTCGGGGCACGTTGGCCACAAACTGGCCCATCACGTTGCCACGGGGATGATAATTGGCCACGATGAAGATGCGACCGTTCTTGCCTCGGGCAAATCCCAGTCCCAGCTCCTTGCTCGCCTTCCAGATCATTTGCGAAAAGTGACCTGCAGAAATTTATTTATTATTAATTACAATCAGCAATTTTATTGTAAATTATTCGAATAAAAAATTACCAGTCATCAGAATTTTGGGTTCCATGCCGAAAGTGTGGTTGCGAATCTCTTTATACCAGTAGTCGCAGGCTTCTTTGGCTGACACCGTCGAGTCCGATGACCAGACTGAGAAAATATTTTCGCCGTACTTGACGTCCGGCCTGTGCACAAAACGGTCTTCTTTGGCAAGCGTTTTTGCCCACTCTGTTGCATATTGGCATAGCTGAAATTAAAAAAAAAAAAACATTACTTTTTGCAGGTCTTTTGAAAAAGAGAGCGATTTAGAGACTCCTTATTGATGTAGTCGAATCAAGTCTTTACAACAATAGAAGCTATTTTTGGCAACTATTGGAAATTTAACAACGCATTTTGTAGTAAAGACTTGATTTGACTATATCAATAAGGAGTCCTTAAAAAATAAAAATCTGGCTAAATTTAGCAGAAATAAAATGGGAAACAACAAAATTACATCATCACTGAGGCTCAGTTCAGGTACGCCGTGCTTCTTCCTGTAGTCATTGTGCACTTTGAGGCCATCTTTGACGAATTCCTCAGAGTCAATACTGCTGGCATCACTCTCAGATCCAGGAGATATCAGTCTGTCCTTCGGGAACCCACTGAAAATTCATCAAAATCTCTATTCAGAAAAGTTGGAAGGTCTTTTAACATGAAATGTATGCAACTCTTGCTACACGACTGCTTTGCCGGTTGCATAGTTTATGCAAATGAGAAATAAATTCAAAGGGAATATTTAATTTTTCTCATTATATGAAATCTGAGATTACTTTTTTCTGCATGAAAACGGAGCAAAATTCTTACCCAAGCGGCGGAACGTTCTCAGAAAAGCTGCCAATGAAGTTTCCAGGGGGCAGGTAGTTGCAGACCACAAATATTTGCCCACTTCTGCTGTGCGCGACGGCCACTCCGAGTTCCCTGCTGTCGCGCCAAACCACTTGGCTGAAGTGGCCTGCGATGCATTTTTAAAGCGTTAGTAAAATTTCATTTTTTTACTTCTGAAATAATTTATAAAAATTAACACACCTGACTTCAGGTTCTTTGGTTCCTTTCCAAAAGGATGATCCTTGATTTCCGAATACCAGTTGTCGACGGGCTCTCGTCCGGTGACTGTGTGGTTCGGACTTGAGGACCAGCTGCAGAAAATGTTCTCGCCGTAGTCGGAGTTTTGTCGGTGCTCGAGGTGGCCCCTGCTGGCCAAGCGGCGTGCCCAGTCAGCGCTGTGCTTGCACAGCTGGAAATTTGTATATTTTGTAAATAATTAAAATAACTCGATAATGAATTTAAATTTTGCATCGAAGGTAAATTTTTGTGATGTATAAGAAGAAGAAACCATAAAAAAATCATTGAAGGAACAAATAAATAATATTTTAATGATTCTAATATTCCGCCAAAATATTTCATTTCAACTACGAATGGGAAAATTGGTGATCACTGATCAGCTTGAGCTTTATAATCAATTTTTTTTACATGAACTAGAAATTAATGAGAACTATTAAAGAAAAGAATATGAAAAATAAAAAATTAAAAGATTGTATTGATATTATTTATTTAACCAGTTTAATGATAAATATCGCAATTTTCACCGAATAAGTCACCTATCTAGGCAATAACTTTTATGGTGATTTGAATTTAAAATCGGCTTTTCCTCGATGGGTTTTTGTGAGTTGTTTATTGTTTCAGAAAAAACAATATCCTGCTCGAGGAAAAGCCGATTTTAAATTCAAATCACCATGAATCAACCCTCGATCGAGAAATTCTACCACAAAATATTGTTTTATATTATAAATGAAGAATTTTAATTGTTTATAAAATAAATTTAAAATAATTCAAATTGAAATAAAATAAAATGTATAAATAAAATAAAACTAAATGAGTTAAATGAAATAAAATAAAATGGTAATAAAAAAAATAAAAAAAAAGTTAAATAAAATACAAAAAACTTCACCCTGTAACTCATTATTTATAGAAATCATAGCTCAAAACGCATAATTTTTTAATAAAAATTATTCACTTATATGACATGTTTTCATTTTTCCACTTCTAATTCAGCCAACCAAAAACCCGTTAAAGCGTAAGGACTCTGACGTGTTCTAAGAGCAACATTAAGTAGTTTCGGTGGCATTATTGCGCTTGTTAATGAATGTATATTTTGTGCTCAGATGAATGAATAAAAATATTTAATCTATTCTAATCTAGGCGCCTAATTCACCCATAAAAATTTTCAATATTAACATTGATACAAATTTTTGGACCTTATTTCATAATAATATGGGAGCAACAAACACTGGGAATCGGCGGGACGCCTACTTCACTGTTGTCACATTTGCATCCTCTACAGCCAAACCGGAAGCCGAAGGAGCAGAGCAGTGTGATAGATTATTGGGTCAACGTCCAGCCTTCCACTCTTGCAACAGCAAAAAAAAAACTTATCGATGGCTTTTGCTCCATTTTTATTAAGTTGAATTCGTCGTGAATTATTTCAAAATTAAGTTGCTACCAAATTCTACTTTTAGAAGAAAAAAACAGAATCAATTAATAAAAAATTTACATTTTTTTATAGAATATATTTTCATAGATGACGATGGCGCACAACTTCCTTATCTCATTTAACTCTTCAACTTTTAACTGGGCATTAGGCCCACCCATTTTTTTTTTATTAAAATTGTGAAATCAACTGAGCTGTTTTTGAAATAGGAACGAACGAGCCGACAAAAGTGATCACAAGTGCACCTGGCACTCACTTATATTGTCTGTTTGCATTTCTATGGAAGCAATTACGGAGCGATTACACGAGCCATTGTGTTTGGTAAGCCACACACAGAGCGCGCCCAACGCGCGTATCGATCGGTCACGCTATCGCAAGCCAAGGCCAAAAACTGCTGCCACGGTCAAGGTCAGAAGTTCTATCCCGTATGACTTTTGCATGTATGAAATTTTTACTTTCGCGCAGAGAGGAGTGAAGTGTAAGAAACGAGAACAATGGATGTGCGAACCTTCTTGTTGAGGCGCAGGGGTGGAGCGGCGTGTTTGGCTCGGAACTCGTTGTGCGCCCTTAAGCACTCGAGGGCGAAATCTTCGTCGTAGCCGTCGTTGGTCGAGTCTTTGCGACTCTTGATGCGGTAGTCGGATTTCTGAAATGCACACTATTTTAGAATTTCTTGGAATATAAATGTTTTCAATTCATAAATTATCTCAAAATTATTGGAAATAAATTTTTATTTCTGTTCAATCATGAATTAAATTAATATTTTTACGATTTTTGCGCAAGTAAAAAAATGCTGCACGAATAATATGACAAAAAAGATGTTGGTCGTTTTGACTGTTAAATTATGTTAAGGACTCCTTATTTTGACATAGTCAAATCAAGTCTTTACAACAATAGGAGCCATTTTGGGCAATTATTGGAAATTTAACAAACCTTTCGTTGTAAAGACTTGATTTGACTATGTCAATAAGGAGTCCTTAACATTAGCTTGATAATTTAAGTTATTCACAAATTCCCTGGTGTTTTAATATTATAATCAAGGTCCGCGCATCAGCAACAATGAAAAATGATTTGATTGTTGTTTGAGCTCTCTGATTGGGTACAAGTAAAATTATACCCAATCAGAGAGCTCGACAACAATCGAAATTTTCTGACGAGCGGACCTTGATTATAATTATTGGTTTCAATAAAGAATCAAAAAACCTTTTATCCATCATTGGTTTTTGTCTTTCCATTTTCAAATATAATCATATCTTGCATTTTAGTTTCTTTAAACGAGATTTCGTACATTCTGGATTCCGGCAAAATGTGGCGACCCAAAAAAATCAGGCCAATTGTTCATTAAATAAATTGCCCACAAGGCACGACTGCACCATTCGTCTTGAACGAAAAGTAATTTTTATTTCAGATATATACGTGACACGAAAATTGAATTTAACAGCCTTTTTTATTTTGCCATTCGGGCAGTCGTTACTTCTTTTCTTGCACAGTGAATTGTCTAGGGTTCATTTTGCGCAGTGCCGTTTGCAGTTCACAAAGGCCCGCTAATGATATTGCAGAAGTGGAATGGGGCGATGGCTAAAAAGAGAATGAACAACTCACGGCTCGCGGAATGGTCGGGGTTCGGTCGAGAGTGTTGCCCGGTGATCGCGGCTCCATCGGACTAACGGACGATCGAGGACTGATGCTCTTGCTGTGGCCTGAAATCCAACAATCCACAAGTTTATATATTGGGCCGCAATGAGGATTTAAACCAGATAAACGTCTTTTATCTCAAACACACTTTTGCAACACATTTGATAACATTAAGTGCTAATTAATGTTTATAACCTACTGATTCATTTTATTGCACTTTTGAAGATCGAGCTTTTGAAAAAAAAAAAATGAATCATAGATAAACAAATGAAGAAATAGTCGAGAGAAATTGTGCTGTAGTGATCAATTGATAAAATAAAAGTTTTTTTTTTCAGTAAAATTATGCGGTTAAGACCTATTTTTGAGAGAAAAAAAATCCATCTATAAGTGATATACAGATAATCAGGATTTACACAATTATCTATTTTTATTTTATTTTTTTGCATTTAATTAAAAATTACAACTTATTTAGTGATTGAGTACGTAAATCTCGTTAATTAATAATAAATTACGAAAACTGCCAAGTGAGACAAAACAAGTTCTTGCTGGTTCAAAATAATTGATTCAGCAATACGCGTTTAGTTCTTCGTCATTAGCTATGACAGCGAATTTTTGCTTATTGCAAAAGCTCAATTCACACCATGAACAACAAATTATTCTCCCCAGCGATGGTTCCCTTGAATAACCTGGACGTGGAAATTGCTGAAAATTGGAGACAATACATGCGCAACAGCAAGGTGCTGTGGACCAGCACGTTCGTCACAATCTTTGTAATTGTGGTTCTGATTGCTGGTCTTTACTTCTTGCAATTCAAACAGGTGAGAAACACTAAAATATATTTTAGATTTTAAATTTCGCATTATCCTTTTTTAACTGAGATCAATTGTTATTTAATTATTTATTATGGATTATAATATTCCATCTAAAAAAAGCGTTGTTCCTATGCGCATATTATGCAATTTATTATTATTTATTTATATTAAATGTTTATAAAATTTAAAAAAAGCACTTAATTTTTGCGCTTTATTTTCCCCCCTTTTTTTTTAATTGTTTATCCCTCTTGGGAAAGGCACCAGCCTTCCTGTATATCAATGAACTCAATATTTGGCTTCTTCACATAACGTAATTTAAAGGTTAATTATTAAATTTTTACCTTTATAACCCCATTACAGGAAAATGAAATGGCGCATTTCATCGAGCTGCAGACAAAAACTAACGAAATCAATCAGAAATTTGATGACGTGGTGAAAATTATAAATCGCAATCGTGAAGCGAGGTGCAATGTAGCGCGTAAGTATTACTTGAGAAAAATAAAAATCTAGTTTTCTAAAATAATGAAAAGGTCAAATTTTTAGAAACCTTAATTATTACACATGAATTAAAAAAAACTTGTAAGACGATTTGCATATTTATAGGATTCGCAGACTTAAAGAAGGCAGCCAATGACAAAAAATACTTCTTTGCATATCACCCCCTTCAGCATGAGGTAAGCGTTTGTTGCCTTTTGACATAAAACCTGTTAAATTTTGTGTTCAACCTTCCATATTTCTACCAAATTTCATTTATATTCCCATTTAGAGTAACTGGACGACAGCGCACAGTGTGTGTTCAAAAATGAACTTGCATCTGGCCCAAATCAAGGATATCTTTGAACTCCTTGCTGTGTATACTGAGGCGAGCAGAGTTGACGATTCTGAACGTAAAGCGTCATTAAATATACTGAAAATAAATAAAATTGCATAATTTCTAAATAATTTCCAGGCAAAGGTTGGTGGTTGTCAGCAAAATATGCCGATAGTGAGGAAGGCCCAGGCAATTTCTGGCATGATGGCACCAAGCTCGAAGAAAATAGCCCAATGTGGAGAGAAAATGCAAACAAAACTTCTGGCTGCGTCTATTTCTGGACTAACGAGACATAAAAAACTGAACAGTAGGCCTTGCGACCGCATAATGGGTTTTTTTTGTGAGCTTCCTGTTGAGTGCTATGACTGACCATTACCAAAAAAAAAAATTGATGTAAAGATGACAATTTTTGTTAATTTTTAATAATTAAATCTTGTATTCGCTTAATTCATAAATTATGAAAAACCAAACGATGAATCATAATTCTTTTTGTTAAATTATTATGTCACATTAAATTTCAAATGAAAGTTAAGAACTACAAAACAAGTTGATGATCACACAAAATACAAAATTTCATAATGAAATATTCAGTTTTCTCCAAAATAAATGTGAATAAATTTTCATATATATACAAATGCAAAAAAATTCACATTTGTGAAAAGTATGCCTATTTTTTTTTTATTTTAAAATAATTTTTGTTATACAAGCTAATTTAAAAAAATTGTGCCAATCTGTGGTACACAATTAAAATGACGAAGTAGTTCAAATGGTATGCGAAGTTTTTTTTTTTAATTCATCGAAATTTTGGTTTCACTCACCATTGGATCTAGGCAGGAGAAGCGCGTCAGGTGGGGCAGGTTGCACGTCTCTCTTCTCAGACGTAGTGACCCTTCGACCTCCGCTGAAGGTCTCCACAGTCTCCCTGGTAACCGTTTCCAATTGAGGAGCCTGCGAAATGAACAACATAATTATAGACTACGAGCACTAAAGATCAGAAAAATTGATTAAAAAAATGTATAATTTATAACATTAAAAACAGCGCTTTATGAAAGAACCTTTCGTCAATAATTTTAGAACGAATTTTTATTAGAAATAATTGCGCAAAAAGTCAAACTACTAAGGTCGATTAAGTTGAAAGACCATGACGAAAAATCTATTCTGCCACAAATCGAGGGCAAAGTGAATGGCACGTTTTATATCTGATAATTTCTTTCTGCGCTCAATACAAATGTTGAAAGCAATAGACTCTCAGCAGAAAATTGAATTTCTAGGAAGGGCGATCAAATTGAGCTGAACCTGGAAGCGTCACGAAGAGATCTGCAGAGCATTTTCACGCCTTGTGAAGGGGAATAAGCAGAGCGCGTTGTTACATTTCGCCGTGCTATTGGACCGCGACTTCTCAGCAGTTAACACCAATTTGCAGCATTTAGCGCAAATCCAAGTTTAACAACTCTACGAGTGGCAAAAGGAACTTTGCACTTTATCCACGTACTTGGCATTTTGCAATCAAAAAGTGTTTACAATCCAACCTCAAAACTCCAAAAAGAGTGAAAATTATTTCTTAATAAATCTACGAGTGCAAAAAAATATTTATAAGCTAAAATTAATTCAAAAATTTTAAATTTATGTATTAAATTCCTGATTTTTTTTCAAATAATAAATTTTAATAATCCCTCTAAAAAAAAATTAGTCTTTAAAGCTTGAGTAATCAGCGCCACTCTTTGGAACACGATAATAAAAGAATTCTGTTGTTGAATTCTGCACAAACTACTGAATAATTCTGCATCAAAAGTCAATGCTCCTGAGAGAGGGAAACAAACCCTGCACCGAATTAATAACAAGCGCGGCAGATGCACGCTGTTCTGAGCAACAACTTGCTTTGGCAGAGAAGCACAAACAAGCCGCTTTGTTTTTTTTATCCAGGTTTCAGAACAATTCAGCACATTCATGAGCCACAGACTGGCCGACGCTCTCAAGTTCAAAGGCAAGCCAGACATGATAATGAAATTTTGCTCCAACAGGTGGAACCTGCTTTGTTTCCATCCAACAATGGACAAATCTTCATAAAAATAACATGAATATTTCAGCTTTGGATAACTTAAAAGTGTTTAAAAAAAAATAATTAATAGAGAAACTTAACTGTTTCATAGTACTTAAGAGACAAAATAGCAATTTTTATAATTTAAAGGTAAATTCAACTCGAATTTACAAAAATCTAAATTTTAAATGTGGACCTAAGTCAAAAGCAGTAAAATTTAAATAATAATTTTATTTTAATTTTATTCAGAAGTTGAATATGTGAAGTTTTATTTTAACTTTCAATTAAATTTATTAAATGAAGACACAAAAAACGTGAGACTTGGCTGACACTTGAAATTTATGACTCTTTTGAATTGATGCCTGTGAAGCAAATGCTTATTTAGAATTCAGTCTGTTTATTTCTGACGTGGCTGCAGGCGTGAGCTTTCAAATTCCAAATTAATATTAATGGCTGCCTAAACAATACCAAGAAAGAATATTCCAGAATTTCTGCATGTTAATACAACAGCAGCTGCTAATATCGCACTTATTATTGCTTTCACACTCTTTTAAAGCTGAGAGGTCGGTGAAATTTCACTTAAATTTATCTTATCGCCGCGCTTCCTACAAATTCTAGCAGTTTAAAAAGACCTTGGCATATCGTGAGAGAGCTGCCGCGGCAATGAAATTGCGCGAGACACAATTGAATTGAAAGCGCAGACGAGTTAATTGCGGCAATTAATCGACGGGACATCCTTAATTAATTCCTTCCTGTGCGAGAGAAAAGACGCAGCAAATAAACAGAGAGTAAAAAACGCGCAGGGCAAAAGGAATGAAGTGATGCAATGAATGAGATGTTTTGTATAAAATACGACAGGCTAGCGTGTATTTTTCATTACACGCAAATACTGTGTTTGCGTCAAGAGCAGCTCAAGAGCATGCATGTTCGGCTGGACAAAGAGTTGAAACATTGTATTTCCTTTCTTGAATCAAGGAATCCTAATTTAAAGGATATTGCATCACAACACACTAAAAAAAACCTTGATTTCTTGGCAGAAATGCATGAATTAAGTTTTAATAAATGGATCCTAATAATTCAGCAAGTTATGATAAGAATCAGAAATTGGTTTTTCATTAAATATTCTACAATTCTCACCCATATGTTGTTGACAAAATTTATACAATTATTGTTCTACAATTTGATTTTTTTTTTCTTAAATTTCTCATAACTACATTTTGTGTGCTCAATTCTAATATTTAAAAATAAAATATTTACAAAAATAATGTTAATAAATAAATAAATAAATGAATTATTGACTTCAATAAATACAATACATATAATAATTTAATATAAGTTTTTAAAATACTTTTTGCAGATTATTTTTGTAAAGTCTAAACAAAACTGTAAACTTCCCATACTTCAATTTCTTATATAGAAATCCCTTTTTAATTTTTTATTTTTAATAAGCAATCTTTTTCACTTTTCACGTTTTGACCATCAATTCATGGTTCAATAAGCATAGGCAAGCAAATTATAAATAATTTTTTTTAAATAATTTTAACTAAAAATATACAGATTTGGTGGTGCCTTCTGCACCACCAAGAAGGGGCACAGGCCATCAAGACTTTTTCTTGGCCTGACCCTGAAAATTGACTGGGTTTGAACTCAAGTTTAATACTTAAAATTTAGATAAAAAAATGAAATATAAATTTAAAACAGTGGTTATAAAATCAACCAAAATCAACTCATGTCCTTTTACGGCAGCAAAGTTAAATCGTCTGTCGGCCCCCTTTGGCCGTAGATTATTGACATAGGCCTTGATTTTGTGTGGTTTCAGCAAAGAATGCCAAGTCACGTCCCTTTAAAAGAAAAAAAAAGACCGGGGAACGTCTTCTTTCTTTGTCTCATGCGATGCAAATGAGTCTGAATTAGCTGCGGCGAACGTGGCGAAGCGTAAACGCACGTGTGTGGCAACGAGATAGAAAGAAAGGTGACAGAAGTGGGCTATCACAATTTGAGCGTGACTCTTCCTTTTTTCTTTTTGGTTCGAGAGAGTAAAAACTATGTAAACATCAAGCACCGGGTGGACAAAAGCAAACTCAACTGACACATAGGAATCAAAATAGTGACGCGAGAGATAAGAACGAAAAAATTACGAAATTTGACAATTTTGGGCTATTTCTAAAAGGCACTTGACCCGCCTAGGCTCACTACACCAATATTAGGAAATCCAAGTTTGCGCAAAAAAATAAAAAAATATATATCTTCAACTAACACAGTAATTTTTTTTTTAATTGAATATTTTGAACGGAAATAAAAGAATTTAAAATTTCTAAGAAAATTGCTGTTGTTATTGATTAAGAAATAATTTTTTTCATTCTTCTTTTGTGGATTATTAAAATAAATTAATATTAATTTGGTACCTGGCCAAATAAAATTTAAATTTTGCAAATCTGCGGAAATTTCATCATCATTCAAATAATCTTTTGTATTAAATTCTCTAAAAAGGCTCGAATAAGTGTAATAACAAAAATAATTATTTTTTGCAACCAAAATTGAACAATACTCTCGCACTTTTTGCCTTTTGAGTGGCACCAAGGTCAGGACGATTATTTTCTTTATTGCATAGTCGGACCGAAAAGGTGCTGGAGAATCATCTTCGTCATCATCGCGCTTTTTATTTCTGCGGTTTCATTTTCCAACTCCGGTAGCTGGTGTGGTCGCAGGAATCTGCAGAAGCACGGATTCCCACACAAATATTTTGCTTATCTTGAGAGATAAAACAAAAATATTCATCAGCTGATAATGCAAAAAAATTTACTCCGCGCCTCTTCAATTATTTGCTCTGCAAATTATCAACCGAGAGAGATAAAAATCGAGTCGTTGAGGAAAAAACGCGCGTGGCACATTTGCTCATTGGCGGAATTCATGCTTTCCAGCTTTTGCCACTTTTTTCGGCACTTTCGTTGAGTGAGCTGGAAAATTGTGGAACACACTTCTTGCTCAACGTGATATAATGTGGTGCTCTGCTTTCTCGCGGGCTCTAATTACCCTGGCTGCATTTGCTAGCTCGACCAGCCAGACAAAACACACACGCATGCAACACGACGCTCGCTATTCCGGTCTCCTTATGTTGTTTTTCAGTTTTTTTTTGCTCAAGCACTCTTTCGTTCGCGTGAAAATCGAACCAACACACTTATTCACCGCACACAAACGCAGCCAGGGGAAAAGCTTTACAAGTGAAATTCGTCTGTTTGTTTATAAATATAAAAAATGAAATTTCAAATCGCGGTTGAACATGTTTTTCTTTGGGATTCGAACTCGCCAGCCTTGAAGAAATTCCACTCTGATTAAATGGAGTCCCGCAATAGGGCCGAAAAGAACAAGGCCGAAAACGGCTGAGCGGAACAAGGCCGAAAAGGAATAGGGCCGAAAAGGAACAAGGCCGAAAGCTGAAAAATAACCGATAACCGCGAGCGCGTTCAGCTCAGCGAACATTCAATTCCTTTTGAAGGAGAAATTTTTAATGTATCTGTGCGATCTACAAGACTCAGATTTGATTTTGATTGATCAGCCCCTACGAGATTATTATTCTCTTATGTCATAGCATGGCAGTTTAATGATCTGGATCAATCTCACTTTTTATTATTGGAATTTAAGTTTAGCAAAGACTGGTGGTCTATAGAATCTTTATCATAAAATTTATCATTTTTCTCTGAAACAAATTGCTCGAAAATTTCTGCAAAGGAATTTTATTATCTTCAACCGTAAAAGGTATGATAATTTCAAAAAATTCCTTCAAAATTAGCAATAGGAATGTGTAAATATACCTAATTGCTGACTTTTTCTAAACTGTAAACACATAATTTTAGTAATTGCAAAAAAAGGAAAGCTTTCAAAAGAAATAGTCCAACAGTTGCAAAAAAAAAATATATATATGTGCTTTTAATCGTGGTAACAATGATAAATTTATTGTATATTATAAACAAGATAATATGTAACCTTCTATAAAATTGAAATTATTTTCATGTTTCAACTCTGTTTTTTTTTTCATTCGATCGTTGCAATTTTACTATTTAATTTTAAAATTATATTCCAACCAATAACTATGGGATCACAGTTTCTTTCTAGTGTAACTTTTATTGAAACCTTGACGAAGTCAGAAAAATATATATTTGCAGTATATTTAGCACATAATTTTTTAAACTGATTTCAACATGTATGTTTTTAAATTTTAAAATAATTATGTAAAATGGTATATTTACTTCAAAATAAAATAAATATTTAAGTAAAATTTATAAGAAATTTATAGTTTAATTTTTAACTTAAAAAATAATATTTAAAATTTATGTTCATTTGAATTTAAAATTGGCTTTTCCTTGAAGGGTTTTTGTGAGTTGTTTATTGTGTCAGAAAAACAATATCCTGCTCTACATGTTTTGGCTGCGGGCTGCAGCCATAATTAATGAGCTGTGAAAACCTTTTTGTCAAAAATTAATGCAAAAATAAATATTTTTTCATCCGAAACTTATAGAGCGGGATATTGTTTTTCTGAAACTATAAACAACTCACAAAAACCCATCGAGGAAAAGCCGATTTTAAATTCAAATTAACATGAATCAACCCTCGATCGTGAAATTCTGCCACAAAATTTAAAATTTAATTATTGAATAAACATTTTAATTTACTTACCGCTCCGGCTTTAGCTTGAACAAAAGTCCTCTGCTCGGTCTTGCGCACCATGACCACCCTGCTGAGGCCGCAGTGGAAGTCGTGGCCGTGCGTGGACGGCGGGATCCTGGACAGGTCCATCTCGGGCCTGCGGACACCGAGGGTGCTCATGGTTAAAATGCGAGTTTTGCCACGGGTATCGTTATCGTTGGCGCCGCGATAGTTGCTGCGCTTCGTTTGGCGAAACAGCACCGACTGAGCGACTCGCGGTGCCTCACGCCGTTTTTCGACTCGGTCGCGGCGGAGCGGAAAATTAGCCGGCAGGATGCTTGCCTGGCCTGGCCGCCTCTCCGCCAGCCGGGCCGCCCCCACCACTAATTGTTATTATTGAGCCGAACATTGTGATAATGACACAGGCTAATGCGTACGACGTGGTTCCCAAATTATGGCTCGGTTGTGAAAATTGGGCGATTGTTTATTCAAATATTTAGTCTGCCGCCTTTATTGTTGAGTTTTTTTAAATCAAATCAGGCCAGCTTTGTTTGGTGGCATAAAAAAAGTAATAATAAATTTGTGATTGTTATCTTTAGAAAATTTGCAATGTGTTAAAAGTGTCAACCGATAAATATTACTGTTCTTTTGTATTATTAATGTGACTTCATGTCTTGTAAAATGTAAATAAATAGCCTTGTTTTGTTCACAGTTTATTATATTTACACAAACAAAGAATCAGCCACAATAATCGACATTGAATTGTAATTAATAATTCATAATCAACAGTATTGTGAATATCTGTAAAAAATGTTCACTACAGGAACTTCCATTATTAATTATCTGCATCAAAGTTTTGTGTTTTGGTGAAATGATTGAAAATTTAGGAGTGGAATTTCTAATTAAAATAAAGATTAAGCAATTTATAGCAAAGCTAAACTGATTTAAATTAATAGAAGCCAATTCTATTTCATAAATTATCCGGAATAATAGAATATACTTGAAAATAACTGGCCTTCCTTCAGGTCTCCCTCCTCCTAATCTAGACTAGAGATTCTTTCCTTTTTATTTATTTGTCCATTTTTATTACATTACATTGATCACATTGTCAAATGCATTTTTTTTTTAATTAAAAAAAAAAAAAACTTTCGAGCCCCAGAGTGAAACCTTAGTTCCAGTAATGTGATGTATCTCAATTGTTCAAGAAACAATTAAACAACAATAAAATATTGAAGCGTGTCTTTTTAAACTCCTTGCCATAATAGATATGCAAAGACGTCAAAAAGAGACGTTGATATACCTACTTGAAAACTAAATCGAGAAATATAGTTTGAAAAAAAAATGAACATCAGCAAAAAAGAAAAGGAGAAGAACATCATTTTATAGTTCTAATCCAGGTCTCTCTGTAATTTAAATTAATTAAATTTTTTCTCCACATACTTCAAAAGTACTGATTAAATTGTTACACACACCTCTAGAAGCAGCAAACATTATTAGAAGTCACGCTGAGCTGCTGTTTCTAGAATAGAATAACACGCTGCAGTACGATAATACCACCGTATGTAAGTTAAGTCCATACTCTTGCTCTCCTCGAGTAATTTGAGCCGCTATGTGCATAGAAATTACATGTGTTCGTTGCGCATTTATGTAACTACTCAGGGCGCCGTGCAAGACTTTTTTCTCTCATTGTCCCCGCAAGTCACGAGCTGCGAGCGGCAGCGGCAAAAAAGCTACGCCTTGATATTGATTCTGGCATTTGGCGCCGCAATAATAATTATGCGTGACTCTGTTCCAAAAAATCGGCACTGCAGCTTAGGGAAATAATAGGTTGGAGAAAAATCATTACTGAGATAAATATTAAAAAAAAATACCCTCCAATAATGAAAACATTACACAAAAATAACAAATTATTATTGGTTAATGGAAGATTCTTAAACAAATATTTCAGATTGAAATGATAAGATGAAATGTGTATGTTTAATTGCGGAAAAAATTATTAAATTGAAGTTAGTGGTCCTCAAATTTAAAAAAAAAAAACTGATTGATATTACGAAATGTTTTTTTAATTAAATATTTAAGTTAATTTTAAACTTTTTATAATGAGGGCGATCCAAAAGCCTAACCTGGCCTAGGCTAACTTGACTTAGCACCGGGCTAACTTAGCTCACCAGCAAAATTGAATGGTGGGATAAATTAGCCCAGGCCAGGTTAATTTAGCCTAGGCCAGGTTAATTTAGCCTAGGCCAAGTTAGCCTTTTGGATCGCCCTGATTATATAATAATAAGATTTTAACAACTCAAATAAATTATTTGGATAAAAAAATTATATATAAATCAAAATTAAATTATACTTCATTTATTAATTATATATTTTCTGACCTTTAGGTCCAGACAAAGCAAGGTCTTGTCCAATGAAAAATATGAAATAATAAAAGTTATTGAAAATTAAGCGGTGAAACCTGACTTGTCGGTTGCCTCAAATGAGGCTTAATGTGCACTGACACTTAACTCCAAGATCGTTCGAGACATTACTTCGTCCTGAGTATTTTGGTATCACTCGACTTGCTCCCATTTCAGGTTGACCGGCCAGCAAAAAACCGATTACGAACGAATTTTCCCTGAGAGTGCAGAGAGCAGGTGGTTTTCAATCCGTTCGAGGTTGAGGCGCGCATGAAAAGGCAGACAGACCACGACGGATGGATCTGATCAGACGGCGAAACAAACATCCATCTCGAAAATGAGATTGCAACGGTACATGCGGCGATTGTACTTTAGTTGCTCTTCTCCGTCAGCAGACGGATGAAAAGGAGAGCTGCACAAAAGCCGCCGGCCGAGTCGCTCCAGCAGCCGCGCTACACCTGTCATTATAATGTATCGCGCCGCCTATTCCAAAAGTTTTTTTTTTTTTATTCCACAAAGAGAACATTGCTCTTTTTGATGTCCATTCCAAAGATTTATTACGGTTTCGGTAAGAGGAGGAAAGTTTGGATTTTTAATTAAGCGCACGACTTGCAAAAACAAAATGCATGTTATAGGGAAATATTTTAAGCTAATTAATGAAAAATTGAAACATCTTTCAAGAAGGGCAAAATTAAAGAAAGTATCTTTAGTCTGTTGGCATACTTTAAAAATCTAGGATTTCCTGTTTAATGCCAGATAATAGAGAGTGGAAGCAATGAAAATTTATTGTTTTGGTTTTTTAATCCAAATTTTAAAATTTATATTCTGAAAATTCTAAATTTTTCAGACCTGCAAGTGTCCTTAAAAAAAAAAAATTGAAAATTTCTTTGCCAGAATTTATAGCATACGCTAAATATTTTTTCCTTTCAAAAATTGCAATTAATTTGTTTCAAACCAGGATATTCAGTACAAGCGGTGCGTAGTGCATGCGGTGCATGCGGTGCATGCGGTGCATGCGGTAAATCGCAAGGGCCGCTAACTCAGGTTTTAAGGAAATTTATAAAATTTTCTTCACAAACTCTTAGTATTTAATTTTTTTCATTTTGATGTTTAAATTACAACCAGGGCTAAACTTTTGCTGGTTGCAAAGTAAAAAGCACGGCCCTTGCATATTCAGGATTCATATAATTTGGTTTTATAGTGTTTTATATGAAATACTAATGGGATAATGGGAGAGAATTTATTTTGTGACACACTTTTGGAATTTGTATTGCGGCTTTTATTTTGAAATGAATATTTAAGATTTTTTAATGCCAATTTTTTCCAAAATTTAAATGTATTTTTTTTAAACATTTTCTGATCTCATCAAATATTCTGACTACAACGTAATTCCACGTAAAAGGCGTTTAGTGAAAAGTACTTATTTAAATTATTTCCCGTTCTTAGTGATTTCTTTAGGTTTTAAATTCATAAAAATACTTTTACCAACTTTTGATAATATCAATGCTTGCTTTAAAAGAACGTAAAAAACGCTTTGGAAAACTTTCCTACACTTTTCGGAGTTTCCGATCTTGGTAATTAAGGCGCGAAAATTTTGCTTCAAAAAACCGGACACAGAAAGAAAGTTCCAATTTAAATGATGGAGGATATTAAAAAAACATCATTTATTTCAAATAATAAAATTTCTGTGCGTGCAAAATATTTTTGAAATTATTCGGAGAATAGTAATTAAAAAAAATCGAGCGCCGCGGCTTGGGACTAAGTCGGCTGGCGGACCGGGGAGATTTTAAAAAATCGGCGGCTGGCGGCTGACACGTGGGCCGTAAAACGCCGGCTGGCGCGGCGCGGCTGGCTCTGACCTCTAACCGTACTCTATAATTAATGTACAATTTAAATAGTTCAGTGTTGCTCATTAACTAAGCTTATTACAGTAATTTAAGGTAAATTATTAACCTAAAGTGAAATCTGTAGTTTTTACTGCGAGCTTGTGAACCATGGTGCACAATTATATCCTCCCTTAATGAACTGTAATGGTTGAAATAAAAATGATAATTTAATTTTGACTCACTTTCAAGTTAAAACTTGAGTAAATGCACTGTTTAGTGGCGCATTAAAAAAAAAAATTATTTTTGCGTTTAAACATTAAAATAAGCAGAGAAAACGCCGGATGTGAATGGCATTAAAAGCGAGAGTGTGAGAATCGCACATTTAATCATGAGCGCCTGCGAGTGCGCATCACAATAAAAATATTACAGGCGCCAATTCGCGATTGGCGTGAGAAATCGCTGCCGCAATGCAAAACCAAAGAGCCAAAAAACAATAACACGGAAATCGCCCGTTGGAGGAAATAATCACGGGCGGCAGGTCTCTTTCGTTCTCCAAAGCAATAACATAATCATCGCCGATCGTAAAAGAAAAGTGATTGCGCCGCTCTATCGAATTTCAATCGTCGCCCCGCCCGCCCGCGTGAGATTATTTTTATTGCTCCCTCGGTACGGGGAATTCGCGCCAAGGCTTGCTGTGTTGTTTTGCGGTTTCTTGCCGCAAAAATCACGTTGCGCAATTTGTTCTCTCTGACTTTTACTTTTTAACGGGAAAAAATAATTGACGCGAGAAAAGTACTTCAGATTTTGTACTTTTTGGAACTAATCGAGCGAGAAAGCAACCACTGAACTAGAAATCATAATTACACAACATCAAAATAAATTTGTCTAAAAAAATTTTTTAAAGCAGTGTTAGAATTTTCTCTAAATTTCCAGATGAGTTTCAAATTTTAATTAGAACATCAAATTTCTTTCAAACATCAATTTATAATAAAAGTATTTATTCCAATTTCAAATTTTTATTTTAATTTTGAGCTATTTTGCACTATAATTATCATAATTAAAGTCATTATGGACTTTTTTGTTT